TATTTTTTAATTTAAAATGTTTTATGTATTTATACATAAATTATGTTCACGATAACACAGATGTTCTCTTAATATTTCAAGGAGCCATCAGTGATGCCACGGCTGATACCGTCATACTGTCACAGATGAATATTAAAGAACATAATATGTAATATATCATACTGTATCGTATTATATAATACGGTACAGTATAATAGTTAGTTATACATAAACATAATAATATACATAAACTAATATATCTACATAAAAATCATATAAGCATGTAAAAATAAAATAAAATACAATTTTAAATTCAAATTGTGTATACAAAAACTTCAAAAAATGGCCCATGAAATATTAAAGAGTTAAAAAAGCGACTTAAACACCAACATTTGTTAAAAAATACAAAATATATTTATGTATTCGTATTCCAAAGTATACGAAACGAATTTAAGATAATATGAGCATCACACGGCTAGCTTTAGGAAAAAAAAAATGCGAAGTTCATCGAAATTCCGGCTCTAGTTTATTTTACAAAATTACTTAAATTATTTTCAAAAAAAAAACTATGTAGGTAATTTAAAAATAATCGTGTTCAAATAAAGTGCCACCGCGATAAAAATCCGCGCCTTTTAACGTATTTTGGCGCGTTTTTAATAAACAATCCAATAAAAGTTTTTCAGGGGAAAAAAATATCAATTGATTAACTATACGGCATTTCACGATTTCGTATACAATATCTTTGTGACCTTTTGGTCATAAAAACCGAGCGGTCATTAACATTATTTATTCGACGGGACGGACATATCATATTCAAGCTGCAACATAGGCGTGCACAGAACTTTGGTACAGGCGCTTTTATTAAAATTACTCCGTTTAGGAAAGTTATTTTGTGGCAATACTACAGTTAAAGTACAAATAATTTTACATTTCATTGAAAATTGTATACCATATCACAATAATAAATTCAAACAATTTTAACAGAGACACTGTGTCATTGCTAATATATACTATAATATAATATATTATACTATATAAACGGTACAAATTTTATTTGTATTTTTTCTAGTCATAATTAATATTAAATATTAATATTTGTAGGGTACTTATATTGTATTAAATTTGTATAAATACCAAAGTGACATGGAAAATATAAAAAAAAAGATATTGTTTTGTCAATCGATAACAATCCGAATCTAATCTATCATGATAGTTTAACATTTTGGCGTACATCATCGTATCAGGATTTAGTTAACAACATATTATATAGTAAAGAAACGTATAGGGCCGTGGTCTTACCAATGAAATAACAGAATATAATATTATCTTGTCTTATTATTCACAAATATTTCATAAAAAATTTCGTATTAAAAAAAACAATGAGAATGTAATTTTTTAGAGAAAGTTGGGAAACCTAGATTCAAGAGATTAAATATTAATACAGATACGGCCCAGGTCTATGAGCTACAGTATAGAACAGTTAACGAACTGATGGTATACAGTTAGCGGTATAGTACGAGAGTGTTCCTTAAGGTAGGTAAGTACACAAGTAGAAGAAATCCTTAAGTCAAAGTTTTCAAGGCCCGTCCTCAAGACTAATAATAATGGTATCGCATGAGTCTTCAAGGCATACTTCAACAGTGCCCTGTGTACGTGCGACTTTGAACTGTGCAACCAAGCCTGCGCAGTTTTTCCTTTTAAAATTTCGGAAAGAATTTTCGGCCTACGCGGGCTGACATAGGCCTCAAAGCCGACCATACACATGTGAAGGAAATCCTCAAGGTTTGGTCTGCCCATGACGGCCGCGTAAAAATCGCTACACGCGAGGGACTTAATCATTCGGAACATGAACGCGCCTTATTGAAGCTCGTCCGACTTTGCACTCGTCTGAAGTTATCTGTCTAACACTAATATAAAATAGTATACGCATACCTATACCGCGATCGCGTTTTTGTTCTTATTAAACATTGTCTTTTTATTTGTTCAAAATCTATCGCCGGCAACGCCACGTTTATCCGAGAATCGTGCCAATAATCGTGTTATTTCGAGATAAACGAAAATCGTTTGTTCAACGGAAATTCGCAGAATCGCGTAGGCGAAAAAGTATGTCGTGAACAATCGTGTTTTGTCGGTTTTTTTTTATTTTCTCTGTAGTTTTATTAATTATATAGTTTATAGGAATAACTGGAAAAAAACCTAAAATGAAAACTTTTATATATATAACTTATACAATATATTACGGCCTTCTTTTTTTCTGTGTACAGCTTTTCTACCAGCAATTTCGCTGGATTAAACATGGGAAAACTGGAAAAATCATAAAAGAACTGAGAAAATTGGTACAACATTAAATAGTTTTTATAAAGAAAATATATAAAGCCTATTTAATTATTTTACTATAGAATAACATATGTATTGTTGACAAAGCGTGATTATCAACTAAACTCAGCTCAGAATCGTTTTTCGTAAGCAATGGTTTGTTGTTGCTTATAGATATACATTGAATTCCCGTCTATATCTTACCTTCCCAACTTTCCACCTACACTAGTGGCTGTACCTGTTCCCATTATCTCAATTTTTTTGTTGTTATTTCGGGTATTTCCGAATTTTTATAAAATTAGAATTAATAGTATTCCACATCGTATTGATTTTTAATAATATTATTATCGTTAACGAAACATGGAAAGCCCGAACATTCGTGACATATTATTATATTGTGTTAAAAAAAATGTTAAAATCCATCGTACGTACACATCAATACATATTAATTGGAAGGAAAAATATGCAATTAATCAATCTATTATATTATCTATTTATTTAGGTGGGTACCTACTATATATTAATTATTGTGTCGAGGTCGGATTGTATTATTTCGATACATTTTTTATATAATAATAATTCATCAAATAAATAATGAAATATACCTGCCATTAAAAAAAACAAAACAAAATAATAACGTCGAATAACATTATACTTTTTTTAAATTTTAAAATTCCTGTCAAACAACGACAACGACTTGTGTGCAAAGTAAATGAAGAGGAAAAAAAACTGTCAAATCGTTAATAACTATTATACATTATAAACATTGACAACATTATATTTTCGTCTTCAAAACAATTTTCGTACACATAATATAAAATACGAGACATTATTTTTTAATATTTTTCGTATCTCGTAAGTATATTTTCCTATTAATTTAATAATACCTATACAAGCACGCTAAGCTTAACGCACTCACGACAAGGATCTTAAAATATATTATTTATTATGACTGAAATTCCACTCTCTCGCTTTAGTAATCCCCTTATTATTTTCCAGTTTTTTTATTTTTTTTTTTTTTGTTATTACGCAATACGTACGACAGGCGTATACCACCGGAGATCAAGTATTATACAGGGTGATTTTTTTCGTTATCGTCGCGTTATCCGTCGATTATACACACGAAGATTCCGAGTAAAATTGGTTTTAGTTTTTATTTTTTCAGTCGTTACCAATATAAAAATATAATCGTTTGACGATTTTACGTCTACAATATTTTCAAGAAATATTGCGGAATGGTTATCATTTCAAAATGGATACAACTTTATTGTTATGTTGTTGATAGTATTGTACACAAGGACTGGAAATAATCAAAATCTATTTTTACGTAAAATCTCCGTATAGATATTTGCAGGATCGTGATAAAAAATAAATAATAATAATAAAAATCACCGTAAATACGATAAACAACGCCTGTGGCTGTTCTATAATGGTCAGATAACGAGATAATAAATTATATTCTATCGTTAAATAATAAATAAATTAAAGATAATTAAAAAAAAAAACCTCGAATTTATCAATAAAATAAATAATCAATTATCGTTAATTAATAATTAATAATCAAAAAAAAATTATTAATAAAATAGAAATAAAGTGCCACAAAATTGTCATAAGCAAAATAATTATAACATCTGCATGTATCCGAGCAAGAAAATTCTCACACTCACAATTACATTGGACTATAGGTGCTCTAACCCCATACTTAAATCGTGGTTTCTCCACTGGTATCCTAATCTTTAACAAATGGAAAAGTGGATGTTCAGTGGTTTACGAATGGACGTAAACAATACGAGTGTATTTTAAACAAATTTGAGATAACCAACCCTGAATTTCGTTTTCAGTTACTACAGTCCATGTAAGCAGTTTATCTCCCCTTGTCCTATTTAAATGAGCTTCGGATATCCACCACTGACCTTTATCGATAGATTAGCGATCTACGAAATCGTTAGAAAAAAAAAAAAAAACATAATTTCGGGGAAGAATTCCAAAGCCAAAATTAAAATTGAAAGTATAGCAAAATCGTATATTGTCAAATTATATCAAATTTGAGTACATTTTTTGAATTCGACACGTTCTTAGTAGTGAAATAAAAAAAAAAAAAAAACATTGTGCGCTCGATTCGTTACGGGAATTATTCAACAACGCGGAAAAGACAAAGGAATAAGGAGGCGGCGGTGGCTCCTGCGACCCGGCACGATCAGCTGTTGTTGGGCTTTCTCATATGTTTTTCGGTCGGCTACGGCGGCTACGGCGGCGGCGGCGGCGGCGGCGACGACGACGACGACGAGGCAACAGCTGTCCGCCGCCCGGCGAAAGTGGCGGCGGCGGCGGCGGTAGCGTCCCGGCAGGTCGTTGTTGTCAGGCTGCCGTTACCGCCGTAGCCGTTCAGTGTTCGGCCGACAGCGTTCAAACACGGGACCGTCAACGATATTATTTACTTACAGACCTATACGTATCATGTCCAGCAGCAGTCGTCGTCGGGAAGCCGTTAGGTTGTCGGACGTATTCAGAAAGATCGCGGGCATGTGGCACAGTCCAGAGGCCTTGGCTACAGCCCCCGCGGGAGCTGCATCTGCCTCGAATGACAAAGAAGGGCCGTTACAAATCGCCGGTAAGTTTTTTTTTTTTTTGGAAAAAAATTTCGAACGGTTTCCGTCTAGCCCTCTCTACTCACCCTTAATAATATCGATTAAATAACTTAGATATATTAGGTATTTACTTGCTGATGACTTTAAGGGGCTTGGCCGAATTCAGGTATAAATTCTCACCCTTAATTTTCCCTAATGATTTCACCTATCTGAGGCGGTAACAAATTGTATTAGTTTCCCAAGCGAGTGAACGGAAGGGACCGAATTTCTTCCCGACCCCTTACCCAGACAATTTTCCGGAACATTTTCCCTTTGATTAACACACATATATATATATATATACAGGTGCCAAGTAGAATATTTTTAACTCCACGGTATCCGTTTGACGTCGGATTTTTAAAAATATTTCACAATAAATGTGAATAATATTATTTACTTAGATAGATACTTTTATCGTTTAGTTGTAATTTTATTGATTGTATTATTCCGGTACGGAAGTGTGACGGGAGCCGATGTGACAGAAATCCCACGTTAGGAGCATATTTTGGAGGAGGAGGGCCATGGTGAGTTTACAATAGCTTATGAAAAACAAGAAAAAATGTAACCGGTATCAATTTTTAATTGAAATTGTTTGAATTCACGAAAAAAAGGTGGCAGTGATTTGAAAAAAATAATGGATGCTTTTGTCTTTACCGATCATTTTAAAATTATTATGCATTTAAAGTTTGTAAGTATAATTTGTTTTCAAAGTTGCTTATAATTAAAATGTGAGGACATTTAGAGGCGTTCCATATATGCATTCCTAAGTATAAGTCAAATAAAGCTATAGCTGGAAAAATAATGTTGGGGGGAGAGGGTTACAGTATTTTTTCCACATCAATTTAAGGTTTTTTATTGCATTTTTTTTTAACAATTTTGTATTTTGAAAATAATTTGGTGGGTCGTACTATCCCCCTAATTATGAGGTCGGGTACACATCTGGTTGTAATTTACGAATTTTTTAATCTTTTCTCTGTAGTTAGAAGTAAAAGTAATTTGAGGACGACTTTGGAGGAGGGGGCGGTGTTGCAAAACTAAATACAAAGGAAATGTCCGTTCATCACAAGTTTTCGTTTAACAGAAATTTAAATACGCATGAAATTCAATTTTGGGTCCATTAGAATTTCCGTTTTTTCTGGGATCACAGTCTCAGACGAGTTTTACTGAATTCATCGTTTCTATTTTAAAACAATAGTTATAACTATTTGTACGTTTGAAAAAAAAAAAAAAGTCGCTTATTGAAATGAATTCGGGAAGAGTTTTAACGACTTACTTTTTCGCAAACCACCGTCAGTAGGGGACCCAGAGGGGGATTTAGGTTCCTCGCCCTCAGACTAGACTATTCAAAAGTTTTTCCTCCACAAATAATTAATTGTTTAACGAGCATTAAATACAAGATTTTCAAGGTAAAATAGAGGAGTGGAGCGATGATTGGTTGTACTATGATATTTTTTTATTATTTAGTTTTTTCTGTCTGTGAAGCAATTTTTTTCCAGAAATCTTACACCAATCAAAAAACAAATTAGCAATGGTTTGTCGGTGATTACAGATATAAATTAAATAACCTTATGCATCCTACCTTATCAACTTCCTATCTAAAACAGTGGCTGTACCCATTCCCAGTATCACATATAATTTTTTTTGCATAGTAGTATTTTTTTTAGGAACATCCCCCTTCCCGAAATCCAATTCTAGATACGCCACTGCCCAATATCTACGGTCTTGACGTTAAATAGTAAAAAAAATATCGTCGTTAATCTCTGTAAAAAACCGTACAACTGTTCGTTTGGTTTTTTTTTTATTTCATTGATTTAGTTAGCAAATAATTTACGAAGTTTGATCGAACATTTTATTTAGCTCGTCTGCCATTAATTAACTAATAATTAATAATTACAATCCTGAAATTGAATGACGTACGCGTTCAGAGTAAAGATATATCATATTATTATTATTCCATTTATTAATCCGGATTCATAATAATGATTACATTCTCAAACTGAAATCATCATTCGAACTAAAGTGAATATTAAGTAATGTATTTTTGTGTTTCAGACAATTTCATTTGTCATATTCTAATTCAAAATCATTAGTCCTTGACCGTCAAATACAAAAATAACGTTCTAGAAATCATAAATCATAAACGTCTCGTTTGTGAAAAAAAAATGTCTAAAATTTATTCTCGACATAATGTAAAATTATATCTGTACTCAACGTTAAACCTTTGCTAATGAAATACGATTCTGAGCGAAGTTTGGTTGTATATTTTTTAAAATGTCGGGATTTTCATCAATATTTGATCTTAAACGTATACAAAAACTATTGTGTTACACTTAATTTTTATTTTGACTGCTAAGTACAACTTATAATGAACCTCGTATTAAACTCTCAAGTATTTCTGTTTGATCAAACAACTGTATCTTCATAAAATCAAATAAAACTAAAAAAACTATAAAATCTTAAATGCTTTTAAACAGCTCAAAAATTGCCAGAATTATGTTTTGGAAATTTGACCACGCCTAGGAAATGCTCTATGGAAATATCATATCTTAAGGATTATTTTAAAATAAATTACACTAAAAACACGAAATCTAAAATAATAAAACCGTTAAACTTTTGAGTGAATGTTCTTTTTTTTCCTATATGGTTTTTTTTTCAATTATTATAAATACTACAAAGTAAATTAAAAACTGACTACTTCAATGCACCGATTTGATCTAAAATTCAACAAAAAAGACCTCTTGTCGTTTAATTTGTTTATGAAATGTTTCATCGCAACAATTAAATCATATTAATTATGATATTATAATTTTTATATTTAAAATAGCCAAATATACTTGAGTATTATTTGTACATTGTATATAATGTTTAATAGTAGAAATTTCATTTTATCTCTTATATTTTTTGATTTCAGTAATACTGTAAGAAATAATCAAATAATTTTTGCAAGTACCTACGTATACTATAGACAAACACCAGCCGAAAGAATACTATATTATTACACATTTGTCGATCTGTATATTTTTCCCTCCTATATGTAACAGTTTTGTAGAGTGAAAGGAACGAAATACATTACAGGGACACTGTACATTATTTATTAATATACTATACGTGCCTAATACGAATTGTTTTTCTTCCACGATTCAACCTATAATTTAGCTGTAGTAAACGGCGTATACCCAATTTCAGTTCGGTTTTTTTTTTTTTTTTAATTGTTCAAAGGTGTTTTCATAATTATTGTTATTATTGTCTGTAAACCGTTAAAGTTTAATAACGTTATTCTGTATCACATTATTGTCTGATGTTATATTACACCAGATAACGATCATCACCGTCCTTGTTTAAAAACTGTATATTTACGTAAACACATAATGCATACCTAAATTAATATTACAATGTATACAATGCGTGTCATGATAAATTTAATTAGGTTATCATATTTTCCGAATAATCGCGTGCATCTATAACGCCATATTTACGTGTTTCTTTTTTTTTCTTTAGTTCTATATCTGTGTTGTGTATTGCCCGTAAATCAAGTTCGTATGGCAAGCTAGTAAATTACGAATAGGCAATAATAACTCGGTGTTAAGTGAATCGGAATAAATTCGACACGTTTAAAGTTAATCGTCATAAGTTAATTTTCAAAATCAGCTTATCAACAGTCAGAATGAAGTTGATTTTCCGGAATTTTTTGTCGAGGCGACATTTAGAAAAAAATGCGTCCACTCGAAAAAAGAAACAGAAAGGTTTTTAATATCGGTTTTAGAAATAAAACATATATATTATAAAATGTGTATGGCCGACAACATTTCGAAGAAAACCTCATCGGCATTTTTTCGGCATATTAATTATTACAAAATATATATATATATATTAATTATGTAAAATACTATTTTTTGTACCTTCGATAATGAGTTAAATATTTAGAGTATTGAAAAATGCCGACGGGATCGCCTTTGAAACGTTGTCATCTGCACATTTTATAAAGAGTGTTTTATGTGCACTAAAAAACGATTTTAAAGACATTTTCGTGTGTTTCGTTTCGTCAACCCGTTTTTGTTATACCACGACGGCTTTTTACCACTAAAAACGAAAATAATAATTTAACTTTAAACTTTTTAACTGTCGTAACGCCCAGCCTTGACGATATACTTACAGGTACTTAATACCTATACACCGGGTATAGGTACACACGACCGAAGATTTTTAACTATTAACCATAAGAATATTATATTATTTGAACGCGTTGTGTATTATTATGATAGGTACTCTGCGCACGCGTAAACATTTTTTTTTTTCAAGGTACTCACCTACTTAATACTTATAATATGTTTACTCAGCTAGAAATTAATGACCAGAAAAAAAATAGAAAAGAGAAACATTTTTCGCTAATTTACCATTTGTTTCTTTATACAATATTTATTGTATACGCGTGTTGTAGGTACCTTAGTCCTATACGAGACTAGTAGCCACGTCGGAATGACGGACGGACGATCCATTATGTCCAGAACTGATCTTTATCGTCCGCACGATTCGACCTTGAACACCGCCGGAATATAGCGGAACACAAATAATATTTTTAATAATAATATCGTAGAAAAAAATACAACGGGTCGTATGATATCGCTAACGATAGTATATAATGATAATTGACGGGTTAAAACGCTTTAATTTCAATATTGTAACATCGTTGAAAATACGCCTAACTATAGTTTTACTATATTATACCTGCGGACAGAGGAGTATTTATGAGGGGTTACAGCTTCCCCCACTGAAATTTTAAGAAAGTCTGAAAAATGATTTCCATAGACTATGAAAGGCGCTACAATATAGTCTTAAATTACTTTTTATTGATTTTAAACCTAACTTAACAGACATTTAGTATCTAATATACATTGCGATGAAATGTTATTTTATGATATCTACATTAAATATATTTTTTTTATATTTTACTGTAAACAATGTTTATACATTTTGATCAGCCCCCCCCCTCTGAAATAAAACGTGTGTACAAGAAGCACTTTTCTGGGTGGCATATAATAGACTGATATAATTATAATGTGTTGCAATTCGTACGTCCCTCTCATAAACCCGGGCTGCAATTCGTACGTGATTTAGGAATTGGGCCGAAATTCACCGACACCGATTGCATTTTCCTTTACCCTCCCACGCGAAACATTGCTCGGTTTTCGCTCGGTAGTCACGTTCACGTGCGATACGAAATCATAAAATCGAATTTAGTAGTCGGGCGAGTGTCACTGACGACGTTTTTTTTTTTTTATTACTCCATTTATTGTATACTACTATTTTTGTAAAGAGGGGTCACCTCTACACATTGGATTTCAAGATATGATATCCAAACCCGGTTTTTACATTCGCTTACTGTTGTATAAATCGGTAAAGCACTTGAAGAAAGTCGTTTAGGTACTCGTGTTTACGAGTACAATAAAACATTTGTCGAGTTGAGTCAAACCCTTGTACTTGAATCGAGAATTTTTTCCAAAATTGCTCAATTCAATTCTAAAATCTAACGATTATACAAAACTATGTACCTATTATACGTATACTACAATATTAAATCGTTGTTTTTATTTTTTTCTGATCTTCATACTATAGGATCAATAATTATTTCAAGAGTGATTTCTAATTTATTGAGGAATTGATTGCTAAAAGCCGTTTAGAACTTTCGCTGCTTCTGCCCTTCACGATCTTCTGCGTCCGTAACTCTCACTCCTTTTCATAAATCTTTTAAATTATTTGTTACCCGGCCTAACTACATCATCCTACGTTACGCAATTTTCTTACTGACCAGTTTTTTTTTCTTTTTATTTAGCTAGTTTATCGGAACTCGCTTTATTAGTTTCCCCCTAAGCGCGCCATATATGCCCAGCTTATTCAAGGCATAGGTCCCATATAATTATCTAATCGTTGTCCTAAAATCATCGATTTAGTCGATTTAGTTAACCTTGTGTCGTGGATCACGTCTCACATCAATGCATTAGCAGAGGTTTATGCTAGGATTTTCTTGGTCTCTCTTGGAAGAAGTTTCAAGAAGTGAACAACTTATTCATTGTGTGCAATTTTCGGTTCGTTGCACTTATTCTAAGTTCAATTTCATCATGCATGTTGTTTTTGTCATTTATATTTTTATTATGCACCTAAGTATACTTAAAATTCTCAACTTGTTCATTCAAAAGAGAACTGTTACATAAACATATTATTATTATAAGGACGACTGAATATATTACTACTACTGCCTATTACTACTCTTACTTCTGATATAAGTGATATTTTAATACAAAATCTTAGAAAAAAAAAAGAAAAATAAGAGAGACACCAAATTAATTAATTCGCTAAGTTTTTACTATTTTATAATAAGTAAACCAATTTATTATAACGAGCGGAATATTTGTCAAAAAAAAAAATATATATATATATGTTTTAATCGTATCTTTTGTGAAATTCGGAATTTTAATACAAGTTATGTGTCTTGAAATCATCATTAAACTCTTCAGAAGTATTGGTTTCACGTTTAAAATTATGTATGCGGTTTTTTTTTTTAGATTATTTAGATAGATAGGTTATTCAATAACATTACAAACTTGAAGAATATTTAGTGCCTATAATATGGGAATAGCCTTGAACTATATTATATTTTTCAAGACACTAAGTGTTTCAAATTTATGTAGAATAAATAAACAAAAACATGATTCATTTTTGTCGACACATTTTGTTAGTCTGCATTAAATCAATAAACAAAGATCGTGCGCACGTCATGACACGATTTTATGCTATGAAAACAGTAATCTTTTTAATGCGCCTATAGTTATTAAATTATTTGATATTTGATTTTATTTTTCTTTACACAAACATTTAAAAAGTGTAGTATACGGGAGGTTAATGAACGGTCTTGGTGTACAGACACTTGTTTCTCTTTGTTCGACTCTGTGTGTTGCATATTATATATTGTTATTTATTATATTATATTAATTATTATTCGCTAACAATGATAAATCTTTAAACGCGAAAAACTATTTGTACTGTACTGAACTCGAGTTACTATAGTAACTATAGTTACTATATATATATGGGGACCTAGTGTGTAAAGAATACAAATGTTAAGCACTTGTGAAAAAAAAAATTATGCACGAATATATCAGTGGCGCAATCACAGTTTGTTCGATAGGGAAGAGGTCCAGAGACTTTTATACTATCACAAAATCGCCAATTTGCTTCCCCACATCAAATTCAAGATTAAGTAAACAATTTTTATGTACAGTATCAAAGGGGGTACACCCGGGGACTGTACACCTCGCTGGTTCCCCTCGAAATATGGCATGATACTTTTGGTGTTAATCGAAAACATTTTCTACAGACAAATCGCATAAACAATTTTCGAAGCAAAACGTCTGCATACAATTTTATCTGCATTTTCGATTACCGATCAGAGATATATATTAAGCTACAATTATGCAGATTTTTGAACCTTATTTTCATCCATCACATAATATCTATTCAAAAATACAGATTTAATATTATTCTTCATCTTCCCTACGGCCCTATGGGAGGATTATTGTTTCCTAAAATTTGTATTGCTAAAGAAAACACGAAAATATTGGTTTGGTGACTTTCCCCCCCCCCACCGCCAAAAAAGACCATGTATTACTATATACTATTGATATTTTTATTAAAACGTTGCGGTATTCTTCTTGTAATAATTATCAGTTAAAAAAAATAATAAATTCGATAATTTTGTTAAGTATTCGAGTACTTATATTTAAATTCATTTCGGTATTTCAAATACTTTGAAAATATATTTTTTTTTATAATTTATACTTTTCTATTCCAGAACATAAAATACTTTTGTCGTGTTAGCGTCATTATACTACACAATTTCCAAATTTTACGAGTATTAATTGCTTCTAAAATAATATTTATAATGGTTCTAAGAATTTGTAGTTGGATGTCTTTAAAATGTCTTGTTACAAATCAATAATTCACTATAATGATACATACTATGATATGATACATATCTAACTAAAGTCAACCTAATAAGCTCATTTAGTAGTAAATATGATTAAATAATACTATGCTAAAATAATGTGTAATATCTGGAATTCCTGAACCTATATTTAAATGAATAACTCTAAGTGTTTATTTGTAATTTTGTTTAATGCAGGAATCTTCTAAGGCATACCAAACGAATTGAAATGGAAGTATTTTTAACATTTTTAATATGTATTTGTATTTTAATCGAATACTTTCTTTTAAAAGCATTCGAATATAATTTATACAAGGTATTTAAAAACGTATACTCTGAACACATTTGAAAAGTTTTTTATAAGACTAATGATATCGGGTCATGTATATAATACGTGTATTTGATAGGCCTACATTTTATTCCGTTAAATTTTCCGGAAGTCGTTTTGAGCCGTACGAACCGTTCGCCAATTACAATTTGATTAGAGTGATACGTTCCTGCGGTCAAACTACGAAGATTTTCGTCTGATAAATCGTATTGATCGTCGAGCATGATATAAAATAGGTATAAACCAATCACGAATATTTCTCGATCCGAGAGAATAATCTGACGAGCTAAATACTAAAATCACGAAGGATTTGTGTACACCTATAACTGTGTATAACAATAATTATATAGTTGCGTAATATTCGCCACTTTTTTTTTTTCATTTTATATTTCTTCTCTCATTTGACCCACATGAGCGGAACATCGCCGCACAGCTGACTACAATATGTTTTTTTTTTTTTTATAATTCCCGCGATCGCGCTCGTGTGTTGTTTATTATTTTATAATAATACAATAATAATTATATTGCACGTGTTAATTAAATGCTCATGTACAATCTATTCAAATACCAACCTATTTGTATATGAAAAAAAAAAAAAAAAATGAAAAACAATAAATTAAAGTAAAAAAGTTGTCCTAGGATAATGGGGACGGGTGCAGCTACTGTTATAGGTGAGAAGTTGGGAAGGTAGTAGAGGGGAAATTTTATGTATATCTATAAGCAACCATAAACCATTGCCAACGAAAAAACAATTCTCAGAGGAGTTCGGTTAATAGTGTTGCTTTGTCCACAATATACATATCACACTATGGTAAAATAATTAATTACATATGCATTATATATTTTCTTTAATAATGTTTATTTAATACTGTACCAATTTTCTCGTTTTTTCTACGTTTTTCCCGGATTTTTCTCATTTATTTAGAAAAAATCTAGGAAAATCAAAAAATGACCTCCCGTAAATACCTCTCCAGTCCGATTTCTTTTCAGTAAAGTTGCTTTCATTGAAAATCAGAACAAATTTGCTAATAAAAAAGTTGTCCACTGAAAAAAAAAATAATAGTAATAATAAACATCATTGTAAAACCAATACATCCATCGCTTCACTCAGAATTTAAAAATAACAAGGCACGCGTACCTATTTCACATGAAAAAGAACTCGCTGCTCATATTAAATTTTTATTTTCGAAAAACGGTCACCGGGCCGTAACAACGACGATGAGACGATAGCATTATAATATTGTATAGTCATGCGTATCCGCTAAATTTTTTATACTTAATAATTATTGTTATTTTTATTAAGAGGACGTTTCTCGAAAATCATTATTGTCGTCTCTGAAGTCTTACATAAACACACGGCATAGACAATTTGCGTTCAGCAGAACCACTTTCTGGTTGTTAGTTTTAACGTTAAGTGAATTGGCCTATATTATTAAACTTAAAGAGAAGAACGTTACCTGTAATGAGCGATTCATAAATTTTTGAGCGAGATATGAATGTGTTTCGATTTTTTTCGACAATTTAGAGATTTTTATATTTCGATTAAAAATTAAAATAAGAATAAAAACCTACATATACAAATACAGCTAACGTTTTTTTCTCTTTTGAGAGTTTGATTTTATAGTTCAATTCACTCTATAATATTAAAACCGACAGTCAGAAATCGGTTCTGCTTAACGTAAATTTGCTTTGTCGTGCGTTTGTAAGACGGAGACGACAAATATTGCACGTGGAATGTTCTCTTAACGGGACGGGGATTACCTCTTATCTATTTCTTTGTCTGACACGTACGACATAAATAGGATAGTAATTTAGTCCGATTTTCCGTCCATAAATCCGAATGATACAACATACCTAGTGATGATGCGATATGAATATTCTGAAAACAGATTTGAGTGCAGTGCGAAGTGTATGTGTAATGGTGTATACATATGAGAACGACCAGGCCACTTTCTCGAATTTCAGTCTTTAATTTCCAAAAATTTCATTTGATAATTTATTAAAGTATTTCATATATATATAAATTTATTAAAAAAAAACTAAAATATAATTTTTTAAAAGTGGTCTGTTGGATCTCATGTACACATACGCTGAATTTAAATCTGTTTCTTTAAGAATAAACAATAAACGTCAGAAATTACCATTTCTGACGTTTATCATTGCCATTATTTACCCTTATTATTTTTGGTTATCTATCTCCTATCAAGCAAATATATTGGTCGGACAACATCTGATAGGAATATACGATACCTATCTGGAAAGTAAAAGAAGAAACATTTCTTGTTTTTTCCAAGAAAAGCTATAGATAGTAATATGATTTTATTTTTATTTATAATATTATTTACGATAAATCGATGTTTTTCTCATATTAATACATACTGCAGATGTTCTGTTACAAACAAAATTCAATTTCGGACAAATTGAATAACTATTATTAAAACGTCGTAAATTGTTAGGTAAACAAAATTTTGTTTTGTCTATCAATGGTTTTTGTTTTGTTTTTTTTATTTTTACGTTGACATTGACACACGGCAGAACAATATAATAACAATACGATTTAGCACTTTATTAGGTGTTCTTATCGATGTCTTCGTCGTCGCAGCTGCAGTCATTTATATTAGGCTGTTTCGATACTGCCACTTTTCCTATATTATACACAGGTTAAATATATAATAAATACACTGTTGTCTATCAGTTTAAATTACAAATTTGATCATAATTTTATTTTAAATTAATATTTATTAGAACAATACCTACGTTCATAACAATAACAGTAAAATTAAAATCAACACGCAAACCGATCCGAACATTTTCATGTTTATTTATAATTTACATGTCTTTTGTTTTATCGTTTGACCATTTTAATAATAGAGTTTGTATGCAACGTGGACCTGTTTTTGATCAAAATTTTTGTCGGGTAAAGAAGCAAATGATCCTATTTTCGGTTTATACATTCTAGTGCCTCGATTCCAGAGTAAGAAATAAAAATTAATAAAAAGCTCTTACAGCTCGGGATCACTCTCCATACCAGAGAAACGCGTCCGTGAAGGACGCCCTGGTAATATAGGCAGAGAAAACTGCACGGAGATCAAAATGTGAAAGCTTATACGTGTGTTAATAATGTTATATCCGAAGAAATCGATCTGGTATATTATATTTCAAGGCGATGACGCCTGTACACTGAACAAGCAGAAGGGAATCTTTAGAAAAATGTACACGTGCAGTTCATATGGAAATCTATACCTATATATATATATAGGTATATGCATCTGAAAGAGTAAGAACTCGACCGCGGTGTTTGTTTTGGGAAATATTGGAAAAGATATTATGGAATTTTTTTATTTTATTAATTTCGGCTATAACAGTTATTTTGTCACGATTTACGTATAATACGTAGTGAATTCAACATCTCAAGGACCTCCCCAATTCGTTTCCAACAATCGAAACGGTTTAAATGTACCTGTATAAAAAATTAGCAGGAGTGTGTTCACCGAAAATACGGGTTTTTTCACATTTTTTATTCAGTGATAAATAATTGTCGAATAAATTTAAATTTTAAAAAATAACTGTGCGATTTGTTTTAATTGTGCCTACTACATACGACGCCGTTAGGTAATTAATATTGTGTGTAACTAGCTTTTGATATTTTTTGAGGTTCCCATATGTCTACTGAGTAGATAATGTAGCAACGTGTTTTATTTGAAGGTAGGGTAGAAGAGATAAGAGTTTTTTTTTCAACAAGCGATCCCTCCTCATTTCTCCTGAATAACTATCACATTTAGTCGGTATAAATAAATAAAACGTTTATCGTAAAGTAAATTAATTTAAAACTTTACCGTGGCCCACGTTAATTATTTCGTATTTTATCGATAAAATATGATTAATTGAATTAGTAGTTTATTATTTACGATTCAGTGTTTACTCGGTTACGATATTATAAGTTATAACATCCAAACGCTCGATATAACCTCGAATATTGTCACAATCAATTATTGTGTAATAAGTTTCCTATTCAGTATTGAGACTAGTGCGCTCGACTTTATTTTTCATTTACATTTTCCACGAAACATCGGTCGGCTCAGGGTCGAAATTACACAAGGGTGGGAGACGAAGGCTGCACGTTGCGTGTCCAATAATAAAATATGTTTATATTTTCCCAGTTGACCATTCAAGAAAAAACCTATAAGAAATAAAGATAAGTAGGTAATAAATATTATAATGGCGCGTATACACTTGAAAACGTGACGCACAGGCGATTGAAGTGCTGCAAAGTTTAAACGTTTTTCGTTAGTTTTTACTTGGCTTTTTTTTCAGAGTTGGCCAAACAATTCAGCATTTACAACCCCGCAATAAAAACCTCGTCTGAGTCCACTGAGTCGGCGTCATGTAATATATTATATATTATTATTACAAAACGATAGAAGCGTAATTTCCAAAAGAGATTTTCTGTTTTTTTTTTTGTATATATTATATATGTATATTGTATACATATTTTCTCCGTAAATATTATAAACGACCGCCGAATAAACGAGATGGTACTTTAAATGCTGCCGCAAATGTTCCGGCAAAAATAAATTGTCGCATTTATAATATTTGACTGAAATTCGGTCCTCGGAGGCAGCCGACCAATAATATACGGGAAAAAATCGACTGAGGTGGTTAAACACGTTAAAGCAAATAACAAAAAAAAAAAAAAACCTAAAACAGTCGATCGGCATTATCTATTCGAACGAATATTTTTTTCTAAAACTGATCGTAACATTTTCCATTATTTTGCGACACGATGTAGGTAATGATATCATATCATCTTCTATATTTATAGATGAGTATCGTACATACAATAGTATTGCAAATGGTTATACACGACCGCGTAATTTTTTGTTGGTAACTACTTGTATTCATTTTTTTTGCTTTTAATAAAATATATTTTTTTACAATACTCGCGATCACAATCAACGGTATAACAGCAACGGTTATAATTGATAACAAAATAATAGATAGGTTGAACATTTGAGAATTTTGGGTTAATTACAGGGAGAGACTAATTAGTAGAATCAATCATAATCAATATTTATTAATCATAATCATTATAGATTCTGAGTGTAGCGAAGAATTTATTGGTTTAACTAAGATATTAATTTTTATTTAATTTTGAGAGTTTTGTACGTAATATTTATTCGATAAGCACTCTGTGGTAAAATTGTTAGACTTGAACAGAAATGCTTTACAATTTTACAGGAGGTTCATTCAAAGTCTTACTTTGTGATAAAAAAAAAAATTGAGTTTAATGAAGTATTTTTTTTTTTTTGTTTTTTGAACATATGTATATTGCTTATTTAAGAACGATGGTGAAGTCAGAATTAAGCGGACTGACTAAGTTTCGAAATTATATCTTTTTGAAGTTCTAATATTATGCGGATATTATGTCATGTTAAATAACTCTATATTGTCCTTCTTAAATCATATTTATCGTGATCAATGGTTATTTATGCCTATTATCATCCTAGGGATTCCGAGTTCAAACCAGTTTGACGAAAAAATATGGTGTGCATTTATATTTTCCTTGTTTAGGTAAAAGGGAAAAAAATGAATTTTGGATGTACCTAGAGACCCAAGCCATCACTCCCTCGGACTATTTTAATTACAAAATAACCCTAGATTTGTTGTGTAAACTTTTCTATCAGAAATCTTGTTTCGATGTATCAAAAGTAGCTAAATTTTTACAATATTAAATAATTGATAATGGGAACGTGTGCAGCCACTGTTATAGGTAGAAAGTTAGGAAAGGAGAATACAGTAGTGATTTGTTTAATATTGTTCCAATTTTTCCGTTTTTCCATCGTTTTTTTTTTAGTTTTTCATATTTGTTGAGAAAACTGCTGAGAAAATCGAAAAATGACCTCCCTGAAGTACCTCTCCACACCGATTTTCTTTCATAAAAGATTCTACACCTAAAAATTAGAGCAAGATATCTTGGTAGAAAAGTTGTCCACAGAAAAAAAAATTAAACATCTTTATAATATTATAAGCTTCTTCACTCCACTAAGAATCTAAAATGAAAGGAAACAAGTGCAATATGCGCGTAACAATTATAGAACTACTAACGAGGATGAGTCTCAAAGAGTTTCTCGAAAAATAAATCTCTTCTGAAAAAAAAAAAACATCAGAATTAATAAATTTCAGTTAAAAATACCTTGATGAACCAACAAACTGTAGAGAAAAGTGTTAAAGACAACTGACAAGAACCACGAGTAGATACCCAAACTGAAAAAAAATACAGTAACAAAATAATCAACAAAAACAATGAAGGAAAGCTGTATGAGGTATAGATTAATGATGGGCATATTTAGATTTAAAATCCAGATAGTTCAAAAAATCCGTATAAGAATTTGATTCATATCCGGATTTTAATATCCGAATAGTCAGATTTAACGCCCATCAAAAATATATCTGAATCAATAGAAACAAGAAAATAAAAATTATTATTTTATGAATGGAAATGAGTGAAAACATTTGAAGGCTAATAATTCTAGAGTAAAAGATACATAAAGAGGGAGAGAGATATTAATCTACTTATAATCAATTTTCAATTAAAGTTGTATTCAAAATTAATATTTTGTTTATAGTAACAAGTACATGTTTAAATAATCACAACGAAATAGCGTTGTCTAATATTCTTAAATGTACAAACTATTAGATCCAAAATGTAATAAAAAAAGTACTTTGTCGTTGAAACAATATATATTTGCTAGGAAAACCGCTCATAGACTGACATAGAAAACAATATAATAAAACCAATACATTCCTCGCTACACCCAAAATCTAAAAATAATTTTTTACCGTTATTAGTATTTTATAAATTTCAGAATATCTAAAATCGATAATAATCATCGATTAATTAAAAGTTTGATTGCGATAGAAAAATAATAATACACATACAAATAAATTAAAATAACAATCGTTTTTATAAAATTAATGTATTAAACTTATTGATTTTTGAATCCAACTTTTTTTCAAACACAATGAATTCCGCTTAATGTGGGCACGTTGAGACCAGTTTTAACCGAAATTAATATTATCGTTATACTTGAGAATCGGGGCCAAACCGTTATGCCCATATAATTAGATGGCTGTCCTCATTAACCTGTGGCGGAACATTAAGTGGAATCCACTGTATTTTATACAAATTATTTCAATTGTAATACAATGAGATGCGTAAGAAAATATGCGTACAAGTCGTTGTTCCCCCACTTTAATGACTTCCACTTGACCAAAGCAGTAGATTAGAGAGGCGTTACCCATTTGCGTACATTCGCCCTTTTTTGCGTCTCGTTTGCGCACAAACGCGCAACTTGATTGCGCAAAACAATTGCGCAAACCATTTCTCCTAAAAACCTATATTTTTGTCCTTATCACGTTTTTTCACTTATGTTTTTCAACGATTAAAATTAGCTAAAAAAATTTTAAAAATCACAGTCCTTTACACAAAATTACCACGTACATCAGTAATTTATTTTATAACTAGTTACAATTTAAATTTATCAAAACATGTTTAACAGAACTTTCCTCAGAATCATTTTTCATTAACAATGATTTATCTACACCCTACAAGACTTACAATAGTGGCAATTCATGTTGTGAATACAATAATATTTATCTTTATTTAAATAGTTTATCTTTTTAATTTTCCACCGCTAATTAATTATTGTATTTAGTATTATGTAATAGTTATATCCGAAAAAAATAATTACAATTTATCGTTTAGATTGTTAATATTCATTATAATAATTTAATATTATTAAAATTATTTACCAATATTATCGTTAATTTTGATAAATTTATAAATCTATAAATTTAAATACTGTTAAAATCAACGGCTTCATTAGTTCAGGATATGGACGAATGGTCTAACGCTTTAGGTGAGGTTAGGTTTCGGGTCAAGTCCTACTACTGGCAGATTTTTTTTAAAATTTGTTCAGTGTTTTTTTTTACGGAACAAATATTACATATATTGCATATATTTATTTTAACTTTAAATCATTTAGGTGACAATATGTTATTGTTAAATATTACGTTATACACGATTAATAGCTATTCGTTGCGTGGTTAAAATATATTATATTATAAAGGTAAGGTTAGGTTAGTTTCAGAAGAGGAATCAGAAGTAGTAAGCATTTTAATGAAAATAAATGTAGGAAGAAAGAGAAATGGAAGATCGAAAAATAGGAGGATGTATATGATTGAGAATGATACGAGAACGACAGGTGAATTCGAGGACTATTTGGGAAATCGGATCAAGTGGAAGTTTAGGACGAGGGTAATTGACCCTAAATAGTTAAGACGAAGGCGAAGGAGGAAAATATTTTCTTCACCGTGTTTCATACCTTTACTTCCATTCTATAATCAAAAGTAAGTTTCGATGGCTAACGTATTCTATAAAAAACATCAACACCGTGAATCGTCAAAATTATATATTTGGATTAATGAAAGAGTGCATTCTAGTAACATCAACCAGTATACTATAACGTTTTCATCTAAATCTCCATAATCAAAATGAACTGTCCGACTGATTTATTCTCAAAAAAAAATTGTTGAGAAACAGCATGAGTAATTTGTTTGTAAATGTGTTTACATACATTTTATTTGTACAATTTTACGCCCGATCGAATGGTATATTGAGATGCGTTTTGTTCTAAATCATTTTTTTAGAAAATATAACTTGAAAATGTAAAATGGCTTTTTTTTCTTTGAAAAGTGATAGAAATTGACTAGTGTCCCTTTTCTCACGAAATTACCGTCCTATTACGCTAACGCATCGTGTAGAAAGGAGCCTAAATAATAATTCGAGAATTTTCTATTTTTTCTTTTCTTTTATTCCAGTGTTATATTATTATACAGATCCGATAAGACGAATCTCGTATACATTCGTATAATACAAGACGTTTTTATTGCGTACTGTTTAATATATATGTACAATGTATATAGATGTATAAAATATAGAGTCTAACCTATAACACGACGTATTATTATAAACGAGGGATTCGGTTTTCGGACCATATAATAATAATATTATATTGTATACAATAAGCAGCGCACACGACGCGATATTAATACGATACAATTATCGGGAAGGGGGGAATGGTTGTTAGGGATGGTAAGAAAAAAAAAAGAGGAAAAAACATCGTCCGTTTTCCTCGACGTGAAGTCCTCCGTGCAGCAGAGTCGAACAATCGAAAGTTGGCTTGGGTCCCGCCTACAATGTGCCAAAAGAAAAACAAACGGAAAAACGACGAAGAACATAATATAATATAATAGAAGCCCTACACACACGCTGCTGCTCAATTCCAATGTCAAATTCAGAACTATTGCACGCACACATACACACACAAGTAAACGCGATTATATTCACTGTAAGTTGTACGTTGCAAAACTTCGGGTGTGTGCTTTATTATATTTTTGTATATAAGTAATAAATAATACAACGATTTGTATTTTATACTATATAAATACTCGTACTCGTACCTGGGTTCTCGAGATAAATAGTTGGCTATTTTAAAATAATGTAAAACTCTCAAAGTACGGGTATTTTTTTGCTGAATTTCTCCCAGTTGTGTATATATTCGTATGACTGTATACATTTTTAATTTGTATATTACATTGTGTAAATAAACCGTAGGAATTGTTTTTAAAAAATACACACGCACACAAAATAATCACAATTCTTCGAAAATACCATTCAACCGATATAATGTCCAATTTTTTAAATCGTTAAAACAACTCTTTTATAATTGCAAACGCGCGTGCTAATTTATCGTTGTGGACACAGCAATGTGTTGATAATATGTTGGATATTGTTGAAAATTTGCTTTGAATCTAACAAATATGTAATGTACGGTTTGGATTTACCGTCCAACAAAAATGTATAAAAGTTTGTTAGGGTTTTCTTGTCAAATGATAGTCACACTGCTTTATTTCTTATTATTGTTGACAACTTATAAATCAAAATTTTAAATAATATCAAAAACTACTACAATGTAAGAATGCTTAGAACGTTGACTGCCAATGATAATGGATGCCACTATAAAGAAATGGAATTCTCTTCTGAAATATTTGAAATTCAAGTAAATTTGACCGATGACAACGGCGGTATGTAATCTCAAGAAGTTCAAGAGTGTCACTCAATCGGAAGTAATAATCCCCAATGCATACAATTAGTTTGGACGATATGCTTGTTGAAGATTTCGGTTTACTTTGAACAATGATCGGCACTTTTCTATCCGTATAAAACCATTACACAATAATAAACTTTTATTTTGTCAAGACTTCGCGGTTTATTTTTTTGTAAATAATCGACTGAAATTCGACATCAATACATAAAAAATAAAAAATAAAGATCCCTATTCGGACGGGTGAAGGTAAAAAACAGAAAACTTAAAATATATTTCTATATGATCTATACGTGTATAATGTGAATTTTATTGATCCGGCAGTCACGTTGTCCGAAAACCTTCGAAGGAGTAAGTCCCCTACTGTGTGTACAAATACATCATAATATTACGTCACCATAATATTATACAGGGTCTTCCAAATGTTGAGTAATAGTTTTGAGAGTAAAAGCAGACAAAGCACATTATGACTTGTACCCCATATCCCCAACTGTCAAAACTAACTTCAAATTTGGACTATCATTCTGTACATATGGACGTATTGGTCGATTTCACATATCTACATGGTTAGGTTATTTATTACTTAAGAATGACGAACATATGGGTATACCGTATATATTTGTGTAGGCTACGGTGCGCTAGGGGTCAAAATAATATTATATCATAAACGTGATGGCATTGCATGTGTATATTATTCCACGGTATTCGTTAGGTACACTGCATGGTCATACAATTTTTACCCGAAAAAATTATTCGTACATATTACGAGTATAACTAGGACTAGGAAAACGGTGTACTAAAAGACGCGGACATACTTCGCACGATTGTTGAGCCACTGTTGTAGGTGAATAGTTGGGAACGTAGGATATAGAGGAAAATTTAATTTATGTCTATACGCAACGATAACCCATTGCCAACGAAAAAAGATTCTGAGTGGAGTTTGGCTACACATGTTTTGAAAGGCCGTAATATTTATGATATTAAAATAATACATTTTGTGTATTTTACATTTTACTTACGTTTTTTCTCGATTATTTTGAAATACCTTGGGAAAATCAAAAAATGCCAAACCTATTTAAAGTACCGCTCCGATCGAATTTCCTTACATAAAAGGATAAAATGCTACATTTGAGTAAAATTTCTGATAGAAAAATTGTTCATATAGAAAAAAAAAAATTTAATTAAACATCATTGTAAAACCAATACATTCTTCGATACACTCCGAATCTAATGTCTATATTAAATGCATTAAATAATATCGTTGATGTCGATTTTATACGAACAAATGATTTTAAACCATGGAAATCGTGAGAAAATGCAAACAAATTTTACATCAAATATTTTATTTTTGATAATCTTTGTGTTAGAGTACTTGAAAAAATAAAATGCAAATTCTATAAATTCCTTGTCCTAATTACAATGAAACGACCGTGTTTCGTGACCGTCAGCAAAAAATGAATAGCAATTTGGAGGCGATGTTTGCGATGGTTCGAGTCCATATTTTATCATTTCGGGTTTATAAGTCGATTTTGTAACGAAATAAAACAATTCGCGAGCCCTTTTTAAAACAAATTTTCCATGCGAAAAAGTAATATGGATACCAGTAGTTCTTGTGTATTCAAAAACACCTTTTCAAAGCTCATCAAGTTTTAAGAAGACGCCAGGTACAGCTTGGTTTTGAGATTACTGAAAAAAAAAAATACAAATGTACGAAACATGCATAAACATGTAGCGTATAATATTACAAGTTTTAATATGTGAAAATGGTGAAAATATAACGATTGTAAAATTGTTTAATGACTAAAAAACATACTATATACTGTACACGATAAACTTGGAAACTGTATAGGAAAAAAAAATACATTGATGAATTTACAATAATTGTGGTAAAAATAAAAAGTAATGTAATTAAACATAATTTTCGTCACACGTTTTTAAAAACTCGGGATTCGTTATTTTATTCGTTCGTTTTTGTCAGCACTGCCACTTTCAATTTTCATATATGACATAGACCTTTTTTTTTGAAAGGATATATTCTTGAGGTGGTACTTTAGGGAAGTCATTTTTCGATTTTTCGAACGGGAAAATATTACGAAATGTATTAGAAAAATATTTCGATTTTTATTTTCTGTTGACAACTTTTCTACCACTCGATTTTGCTCCGATTTACAATGATAGCTTTTTTTCTGTAAGAAAATCTGACTGGAAAGGTACTTCAAAGGGGTTATTTTTCGATTTTCCCAAAAGTTTTCCCAATAAATGGGAAAAACCGGGAAGAAACATGGGAATACCGGGAAAATTGGTACAATATTAAACAAAGAATTTTAAAGAAAATATATAATACCTATTTCATTACTTTACCATAATATGACATATATATTGTTGACAAAGCATCACTATCAACTGAACTCCGTTCAGAATCGCTTTTTCGTTAGCAATGGTTTATTATTGATGTAAACTCTGTATCCTACTTTCCCAACTTTCCACCTAAAACAGTACCTGCACCTGTCCCCATGATCCTAGCACAGATTTTTATTTATGAGCTGTATAGAAAACAGTATATCATACTGTCAAGGTTTGGTACTGAAATCCGAAAGTGCCAAAGTTGGTTGTTTTTGTATTTTTCACGATTATCACTATCTGTCGCCCATGAAGATGTCGTCCTGAAAATTAATACACAAAAATCCAAATCCAGTGAAAACTACAAAACAGCAATGCGATCATCGCTTAGAATTCCGAATTCGAAAACAATATTATGCAAGCGAAACATATCGCTATTCGTAAATTTGTTTTCTATAGCGATATCGCGCGGTTGTTTAATATAGCATCGTATGAATCGTAAAAGTTTTTAAATCGGATATGGATTCTTGGTAATTATACGGTATTATATTATTTTGTCGTATCTATACGATAGAAGCCGTCGTTTTTCATTTTCCCAAGGACGACGGACGTCCAAGGACATCACGGACACGCATTTAATCATTGGCCGATAACGCGCGGTATACCGTATAGACGTATAAAATAAAACAGTGGCCAATTGTCGTGGCCAACGTTATTAACCGCCCGGTTAACCGCACACACGCAAACAGGGACAGTGTATACGCGGTGATTTATCTATGCACACACGTCTGTCTCGGAAGACGACATAAAATTAAGCATATCCGGATTAAGACAAAATATCATTACTCTGGGAGAAATGTCTAAGGCGTTGTTCACGTATATTTACGTACCTTCACACTTTGTTCGCACAAATATCAAATACATATGCAAGTTTATCATTTACTTGTATATTTGTTATTTATACCTTATTTTGAACACTAAATAATCGACACAAACGATTAGTGATGCGATATATTAAGTTTAACAAACAAGAGACATTTTTTTGTTTTAGCTTATGCGTCAGTAAAATCGTTTATAAAGCTCTTCAAATCTAGTTACTTCAAAAATTCTGCTTCAATATTAAATGAAGCTATTTAACCGTCTTATTTCATTGCAAATTCCGTATAGTTCTTAATCCATTTTAATACTAAAAAAGAACGTTCACCTTCACCGGCACAATTTGTTACAGCAGTACACGTACACATTCTGAGTATTATTTTTCAGTTGGGGAAAACTTCTTCTGAACTTTCGTATTTGATTTACTTTAGGTTTACGTTAATGCTAGCTGAAATTTATTTTCACTGATTGTAATTTAAAATAATTATTGTATTAAAGTGTGCTAGTGTCAAATTGTATTATTTAAACGATTGAAATCAATTTGAAGAAAAACCTATACACATATTATAATTATATTATTATTCATGTATGCTTTGACAGAACGCGATCTGTTCATCGTCATAATATTTTCCAAAATGTTCGACGGATCATGTTCAGCTTATGGGTGTCAAAATATATATCACAACCATTCAAAAATGTGTAGAACGCGCAAAGTTTAAGCAAATCTTGAACTTCTTTTCTGTTGGCAAATACATGCATAATCTCAAGGCAATTTGTTTGCTATTCAGCCTTTGAATACACATTTTCTCTATAGACCCACTATAATCCTTTATTCATTTCAGACAAAAATGTTCGGGATTTAAAATTATCCAATCACTTTGATTTTCGTGTTTTGTGTAAGTCTTAAAGTCTGTCTACGTCGTTTCTGTTTTTCGTAATTTCTTATTTTAAAACGGTAACTTCCAAGGGAACTGCGAAGAATTTCTTTTGTGTTTTACGAACGAATGAATGAGTTTTCGATGAAATCTGATTTGATTCGATTTTTTTTTTAATAAAACTCTATAAAGATACAAAATTGTAAGTATTTATAATAAAACGAATACAAAAAAAATAAGTTCAGCGTAAAAGAATGCGTTTAAAACACAACCTATATTTTAAAATTTTTCGTAAACAATACATCAAATTCAAAATTTTAATTGATTTAAACTATATATTATTTTAAGGTGATTCGAAACGGACGAGGTCTTCTTTATCTTAATTTGTCATACACATACATAGCATAGCAATTTAAACCAATGTTTTGTTCATCAGTCCGATCAGTTTAGTGAAGCGAGAAGAATAATTCTGAAAACAGATTTAAATTCAGGCAATTGCACATGTAACCAGCAAGCCAATGTTTTTTTCCAAATTTAAGATTTTAATTTCCAAAAATTGAATTTAAAATTTTTGAAATCTTTATGGAAAATCCTTTTTCCATAAAATCAACTTGTTCGGGTGATACATACGGGGCTTAGCTCTTCGGGTTACCTATTTTCTCATTTTCGCTAAGTCCAGTCGAAAATCTTTAGCTGCAAAACGAAACGATGGACACATTTGTACACTTTATATATTGGGAATAATTAACTTCCGAATAACAAATCGGCTATTTTTTATTTTGAATGTGTTATTAAGGCTTCTGCAGCTGCAAGGTCAATATATTTTAATAACATTGTTTGAAATATGATAGCTCAGGTTCCCGTTATAAAAAAAAAATATATAGTCGCCCATTTCGTTTATGACACGTGAAACATTTTAGGCTTCCGATATTTTTTTATATTTTCTTGTTTGAGTTGGGAGCCAACAATTTGCCGTCCCTCCGATTAAGGAAACTCGTGAATTTTTTTACGAATATAGCGCTGAATACCGGATGATAAATTTAAAAAAAAAATGTATACGATAATTATTAAACTGCAAAAATTACGTATACTATAAATATAATACTATTGCTATCGCGAACATCATGATTCTTCTTAATGATGATTTATTGTTATTTGTCGACAAGTAACATAAAATGGACGTGAGGTAAAAATATATTTGCTATTTTTTTTGTTTTTTTGTAGATTTTATCTCTGCGTTTTTTTCCTTCTTTTCTTCTTTCGGTTTTTTATTTATTTTATCATTAATCGACCGTTTTGATTTTCGTATAATATGAAATATTGCTTTATACACCGTACTAAAAGTAATCAAAAACATCTGAACCTCAAAATAAATAACATACCAATCAATATATAACGGCTATTTATAAGTCGATCGATTGTGTACGAGCCAAATTATTATAAATCATTATTTTCAATGTCATTCGATCGCGTATAATAATTTATTTCCATGGGATTTTCGATCGTCAATTGAAGAATATACCTAATAATGAATATGAATTAATTACTAAATAATATAGTTGTTGATCGAACATCATCACTGCATATTGTATACTGTTTAAAATATTGTTAAAATATTTAAACGGCGAATAACTAGAAAAAAGTGTTCCAACGATTTCAAAAAAAAAAAAGAAAAAGAAAAAGAAAGGCCACGCATAGTGCGCACTTTCCGGGTAATTCACTGTTGTGAAGTTGGGAAATCTGGAAGACATACGTAGGACAGTGGCGGATTTCCAACATTTTTCTGGAAGGGTCTCGAAAAATTATATGTATTTCAAATTTATCTCTTAATAAATGCCACATTTTAGATAATTTATTGATATTATATTAGTGTCTGGTGGTGGAAGATCCAGACCCCCTGTATTCACCCCTACGTAAATCTACGTAAAGACGTAAATCTATAACAGTATAAAACATTATAAAACGTAACGTATATTATACGGAAAATGACAATAAATCATTGCAATAAATAATTAAAAAACGTATACAAAAAAAAAAATCGTTTATCGTTTATTCCCTTGTGTAATTAAAGTAATCCGATAATCGCCAAAAATAAAATCGATGTCAATTGTCATTTTTAATTGGGTTTTATCGATTTTCTATAAAAACCGTTGGGAGTCTAGACAAAATATTCAAATAATAAACCGCCGGACAAAAAAATCTTAAATAATTTTTCCTGGTTTTTCCCATTTATTGGGAAAATTCTTGGGAAAATCAAAAAATGATGTCTTTAAGTAACCACCCCAGTCAGATATCCTTCCAGCAAAAATAGTACACATTTAAATCGGAGCAAGATTTCTGGTAGAAAAGTTTTTCACAGGTAAAAAAATAAAATAAAAAATAAACACCATTGTAAAATCAATACATTCCTCGCTCTACTCAGAATCTAAAATGCACTATTATAAAACTTAAAGAATATACAAGACAGTAATATACGAGATTAACGGAATATTAAAATATGTACTGCGGCCGCCGTCTTTTCGATAAATATCTTTTGCAATAAAAATAAACAAACGGATAAGAATAACTTAAATCGTGTGCGATTAATAGTACTTAAGAATAATTATTGTTTAATTGAATTGGGAATAAACAATTTCATAAATAGACATTTAAACGAACTGACGCAATCGGAAACCAATAAGCAACAATAAATAAAGACGAATTAGAACATGGAAATATCGAAAAAGGAATATTAAATGCTTTTATTAAAAAATACCCTTGGAGGATGAAAGTTACAGATTGGACACAATAATAATATTATAATATAAACCATAAGAAATAAATAACTCATTAAGAATATTTACTTTTTAATTATTTAAGTTGTTTGCAATAGTTGATTATAAATGAAAAGTTATTAAATATTTTATTCATTTCAGCAAGATGTATTTAGTATTTTATCTGATCATATAATAAGTATACAAATTAGTGAAAACAATACAAATTAATTTTGTATAAAATTTTTTTACTGTACCCCTCTTCCATTGAGAAACCCTGGTTACGCCACTGATACTTAACATCATTCTTATCAACGAATATGGTCTAAATCGTTGTCATGTATAATAATATTATTCCTCGAAAGTGTTTTTTTGGTAAAAACCTAACTAAAATTGATAAATGATGCACCGTACCCCGCTTCTAACGAATCGTTAATTTACGATTGTACATTGTTTTTTGGACTGGATTTGCGTCACAACAGTGTATAAAAACGCTACGAAAATCCGTTGCTAAGGAAATGCGACAGAAAGTTTTTATACATTATATTAGTTGTGTAGTTTGTTTTAAAAAATGAAAATGTTCGCTTTCCGTAATTCCAAAACCTCGCTGTTTTACGGTCTTACGTCTCTGACTAGCCACCAATTTTAGTTGATTAAAAAAAAAAATTATACTTGCCATCCCGCTGATCAGACGTGACCAGAACTTCACTTAATCTGTACGCATTTTATAGTGACAACTTACAAGTCTTTAAAGTTAATATTAAATACGTGAAAAAAAAACTAAAATCTAATGAACACGAATTGTGAAATCAAATATATACATTGTAATTTCAACTTGGAGTTTAATACTCACCTGTACACTTAAACAAACTAAAAAAAGGTCCACGTATATAAGAGGAGGAAAACACGTGCGGGTATTTGTTTACGAATATATGTACAAGAATACCAATTGATTACCAAATAACTTATATCGAATTTTACGAAGTGAGCACTAACATAGAATTCAAATTATTAAACAAATTTAGGCACGGTTCAAATGTGTAGGTATACTTGATTACGCATTGTCCAACAGTCAATGTACCCAATATTCTTAAATTTGGGGTTTTTTTTTTTTGTACTGACTTCAAACAGAAAAAGTAGTAGAATAATAAATTTAAATAATTAAAATGATAAAATGAGTTCGTTAATACGTAGGTAGATATTAGTATGTACCTAATATACATACTATATAAACAAGGACAAGAAGTAGAATAAATATAGGTAAGGCGTATTTTTTTAAGAGCCTATAATGTTATCGTTATAAGTAATCCCGAGAAATATTAACTAAAGAGTAAAATACAATTTGAACCTAAAACGTTTATATAAAAAACTACTAAGCTGAACGTAAGTTTTTTTTAACCATTAAGAATAACTTATAATGAACCTCGTGTAAAATGTTCAGTTTTTGTCTTTTTTTGTTTGGACCCAAATTTCTGGTAGACAGAAAAATTGTTCGCAAACAAAACGTTTTTAAAAAAAAAAAAACCGCACAATACTTCTGATGGGAGGATACATTATTTTAGGAGGGACGTTGGAAAGGAGGATATATAGAGTAGTATAGTTTTATCTATACCAGAGTATAACTAGCAGGGCCGGTGGAAAGAGAGGGGGGGTGGGGTGTAACTGAATACCCGCTTAAGGCTTGGCGCTTTATGGCGCCTCACAATTTTAGATTCTGAGCGGAGTAAGTATTGGTTTTACTATGATGTATGTTGTTCTTTTTTTTGGTTTCTGAAAAATTTTTCCTGAAATTCCTAAAATAATTATTTTAGTTTTGAAATGTAAAATGTATGTTTTTGCGGAGATATACATCTCCTGAATTGCCGAATTGTCTGCAGTTAAACAATTATAGTCGTGACAAGGAATAATCTCGAATTATTTTGAAATCGTGGGTTTCGTTTGCCTTAATGGCTTCATTAAATAATTGACACACGAGCTAAATTGAATCACATAATATACACGATGTCATTTTTTTCTTTTTTTTCAACTGTCGTCTGTCTCGTCATTTGTCATAACCACCTGAGTACTTTAATGAATTATTATCAATACGCAGGGGCAGGGGCGGAGCAGCTTAGTTTATGGGTGGCCTGACATATTCAAAATTAAATGGTACCAAATAATAACAATTGACTTTTGTAATATTTTCTAATCTTTTTACATCATACAATGTTAATTGTCTATTTATTATATCAAAATATTATTTTTAGAAAGATTTTGGTTTGCTTTAACTTTGTAGTGTCAAAAGCGGCGAAATCCACTGGAAAACCTTAGCGACCAACGAGTTGCAATACAGTATATGCATTATTAGATTCTGGGCGTAACGAGAAACGGTTTACATTACACATGTATTACAAATGTATTTCTAATAATTGTTTTCTATAATGTGTATTTTTTTGAATCTACATTCGTTTTTTTTTCTGTCTGTAATCATGTTTCTACCAGGAATCTTACTCCAGCCATCTTTAGGGGTAGTTTCTAGTATCAAATTTTGTCTTTTGGTGTATTTCAGTGTTTTATTTGTTAGCAATTTTCAACACATTGAACACACATGAAGTTAAAAATAACCTATTGAAAAAATAGAACTGAATATTATCTATTTCTAATGATATGTTTTAAACTATCCAATACAGGTAACTGAAGTGTTTTTTTTTTTTTTTTTTTTACTTGAAAACAATAATACCGAGAGGAAGAGCTAAGGGAGCTCTTAAGTCCTACCATTAATCGTATTAAATATAAACAAAATTAATAAACAAAAAAATAAAAATTGTCGATATTTTTATAAATCAAGTTTTATTTTTGTTGGTTTTTTATATAAACCTACAATTTTATTTCAATCTGAATGAAACTTTCCACACTTTATATTCAAAACAAGAGGAATTCCACTGTTTGGCATTTCTGGAACAAAGTTGAACCTTTTCTGTTAATCTATGAATTACCTTGGCATTAGCGACACGCATTAAAAAAGTAACAATTTTATTTAATAAAATATGACGTTTAATTATTATGCATATGTTTAATTTAATTTAAAAAGTTGTGAGTAGTAAATTGGTGTTATTTTTACATTTATTCATCTAATCATATGTTTCAATAACAATTCAATACTATGGGAAGAAATGAGTAAAATATATCTTTTCGAGTTTCACTAAATATTAATATGTACAAGGTGTTTTCAAGACCCATATTAATTAAAATTAAAAATTACCTTCTTAATGCACCAACTAGATCAAAAGTGCTACAAGAATATTCCGATAGTTTTTGATACGAAATTTGTCTGAAGACATATTAAGAAAAAAACAATAATAATAAAAAAAATGCACATCGTTGTAAAACTAATACATTGCGCACTTCACCAAGGCCTAAATCTAAAAGAAAAAAAAAGAACAAAAAAATTAATTGAAATACTATGAACTTATTGCCGAACTATACCTTGCCGCATGGTCGTGGACCAATTTAAAATAATATTATATTTTCTGCGTTTCAATGATATAGATAGTACGATGAGTAATTGTATTATCATTGTAACGTGAGTTTTTCCAGTCGTCAAGCAAGGCGATGGATAAAGCGATTTTTCTGACGACTTTTCAAAACAGGCACAGACATGTTACATTGGGTACCTGTGACTATAGGCATGACGGGTTTAAACGCCGAGTTGATATTTTTAAAAAACAAACAAAACACGAGTATAATATAACGCGTGAGTGACGACAGTACCATTATGATAAACGCGCATAAAATATTATTACTACGGCCACGTCATATGACAAGCGGAAACTATAATATAATAATACGTACGAGAGTAGACGTACCTATTGTACATAGTACGGACGGTCTCGGATTGCGCGGCAATTTGTCGTGACTATGTATATTGACTATAGACGTTTCGGTGCGACGCGATAAAGTTCAAGACTGCTGTGGGTCTGTTGTTCGACGACAATGCGTGCGTATAACAGACGCATGATACGTCGAAGAAAAGCTCGGAAAATTTCACGGACGGACGGGAAGAATAATAATAATGAGGCGACGGCAAAGAGCGAAATTAGTCCCTCGCAAATTAATAATCAATGGTCCAACTGATTACTGATTGATTCGAGGGGGCCAATATCTCTGTGTATACGTTTCGAGCGGGCTTAGACTCCTCAAGCCCCCCCCCATCCCGATTTCCATCAATGGGCGAGGGTCTTCGTGAAATAGACACGCAGCGGCCAATCTGATTGAACAATGTACCTAACCTTGGAATAATGTACCTATACGGTTATTTTTTACAGAGTTACAACAGACAAAATCGAAAATAATGGACACCGTTATTGCGCAAATTTTCAGTTTTACCGATGTTTTTTCCCAATTATTAAGAAAACTACACTGATGACAATCAAAAATACTTTCCCCCACCCCACGCCAATACATCAAATAGACAAAATTTGATTTTAGTAAAGGTGCTACAGTTGGCGATCGGAGTAAGATTTCTGGTTAAAAAAAGTTGTTCGTGGACAGGAAATAAAAATAAAAGCACACGTCATAATTAAACCAATACATTATAATATTCCTCGTTGCGTATTCAGACCTAGAAAAAAAAAAAATAATAATAAAATGGAATAACGTATTCTCCCTTCGTTCAACCCGATAGTGACGGTCCCTCGTGCCGCTACCCCGCACGACCGCTCGCGGTATCTGTCCGACCCGCACGGTAATATTTAACTTCACCCCCTGCCCCCGAGGGTGCGCTCCGGTTCGAATTGACAACCGAGAAAACCACTTGCCGCTATCCCGTACCGTCCAACCACCACCGTCGGTTTGTTCGTATAATTTGGCGATACACGCAACGATGAACTTCTAAGGGCCATGACCGATAAATATTAGAAGATCCACGAACCAAAGAGGTTACATAAATATCGGTTTTATAAGGTTTTCTCCTCGGAGAAATCAGCATTGTGACGAAAAAAAATGGTAGTTGATTTTATTTGGCCGGTCCGCGACTTGGGTACATTATTGATTCAATATTATTGAGTTGGGCGAGATTGGTCACGTCGAGTCGGACAAATTTTTCGTTTCCGAGGGAGGCGAGGAATTTATTGGTTTTCATAATACGATGTGCGTATTATGTGCGTGTTTTTTTTTTTCATGCCTGCAATCTACTTTTCTACCAGAAATCTTGCTCCGATCAAAAAATGTCTAGAAACTTTATTTTGACATTTTTCATCTAGTCGGTGCATCAAGGAGGTCTTTCGGTGGTTTTCTTTGCGTTATTTTAAAATAAATAAAGAAAAAAATGAGGTACACTAGCGATTTGTGGTCGATTTCTGAGTTACGATGGCAATACGAGTAAAGGAAAATACGACTGATAACGCTCTGCTCAGATTCGTTTTTCGTTATCAATACGTCATCCCTTCAGACTTCCCCTCTTAGATATCTGTACGCCCACTAGCATTAACGGCGGGGTTTTTTTTTTTTTTTTTTTATGCGGAAACACGGTCGAGATACGATTTTTTTTCGTTTTATATTTTTCCTAAAATGTCGTTTTATTAAAAGTTAGGTATTTGAAAAAAAAAAAAAAAAAATCCGTGAATATTTAAAATTGTCTGAAAAAATAACCGGACGGACAGAATCACCTCAACGCCGTACGTGTACCGGTACGCGATATATCTCGTTACAATTATATTATAATGTGATGCGAAAACGGAAGAGGGGAAAAAACTCGACGAACAGCGGACGTTGCTAATAATTATCGGAACGTTTTCGGTCGAAAAAGATTCGCCCCGGTGAAAAACGACGGAAAGCGCAGTCACGGGGATACCCGTTCCCCCCCCCCCCCNCCCCCACACACACACACCCCAACCGCCCGCCTCGCCGTGGCCGCGCGTATCCGTTCAGCTATAACTCGCCGCCGTCGAATTACCGTTCACGAAAATTCGCGCACCCCTTCGTCCGCTCCCCTCATCCAGCTCTTTCCTCCTCCTTCCCGCTCCCTCCATCCCGCGGGCGCGCGCGCGCGCGACAGCTGCACGCGCAACGGCGGCGTTCGGGTGTCGGGCCGCTGCAGTCGCCTCGGCCGCCCCCGGATGAATGAATGAAGTGCAACGCGCCGCGGCCGGGACAAAGAAACTCGCGGTGCGCATGGCCGGGACCGGCGGCGGCGGCGGCGGTAACGATTTTCCGCCCCGTCCACCGCGGCCAGCTGGTCGCACCCGCCCCTCGCGGCGCACACGTACGCGATGTCGGTCGCCTTTGTCAAGGTTGACTATTGATTTTCCGACGCCCGTTGCAACGCGTCCTTTGTTCGGCCGCCCCCGGACGGCGCGCGGCCGCTTTCTCCTGCGCAACTTTTCCTGCCGTCCACCGCCAACAACCCCCATTCCCCGTCGCCACCACCCCGCCGGCCGACGCGGGCCTATTGTCCGGTGGACGGGGACGGGGACGGGGACGGGGACGGAAACATAGCGATACGCGCATTGTGCACTATTACATAACATCGTGCGCGCGATAACCCGTTAACGTTACGCGCCTCGCCGGAACGGACGGGATTCCCGGGGCGCGTGACCGCGGGTCGTGCGGACGCGTTACGTGTCGGCGGGTTCGCGAGATCCCGGGAATCCGGCCGCCCGCCCGGACCCGCCGGAATCGTATTTTACCGCGTGGCCGTGTACGGCGGCACGGAAAGGACGGAAACGGACGAACCGGCCGGACGGCGCGCCGCGATTTTCGTTTTTCCGCATCGATATTCCGGCGTCGATACCCCGCAGCGGGCGTTTTCGTTTTCCTTTCGTCGAGTAATAATTATATTCGTCGGCGAAAACAAAAACCGATATCGCCCGGGAATCGCCGAAAACGAGACGCGAAAAAGGACGCGGGAAATAAAAAGATCGAATTATTTGTAAAAAAAAAAAAAAAAAAAAAACCCGTTTTTAAAACCGTGGCCGCGCGAAAACGGGTATCGCTCGTAAATAATACATACACGGATCCTATCCATTAGGCGGTTTGGCGCCTGAAGTGAAACATCAATAGGTAATAATATGTAATGAGTGATGAGTGATTACACCGAAATTTAAAAAGTAAAAAATACGTATGTTTTTTTATTAGTAAAATTGTATTAAATATAAATAAAATAAATAATAGTTGGGCGTTTCATATGTATGTGTTAAAAAAATTGTATTATCAATTGGTAACCATAAATAATCTATATTACCGTAAACCACTACATTAACCACAAGTATCCAGCGTGATAACATATATTCTCTTCGGAAACATTACACCGTGTGTATTGGGTATAGGGATTGTCCTGTCCGTGTACAATATGTCATTGTGTATGCATTGTTTATATTGTCTATGGTATCGCTAGGGACTAGGCGAGGTAATACACAGTTTTCCCAACACAACATGCAGAATATGTCCCACGGAGATGCAACCGTTGTCACGTCTCGCCCTTAATTTTCAACCTCTGCACCGAGAAAACATTCGACGAGGCTCTCGACGGAATAGAAAAAAGTGTACGGCTTGACGGGGCTAGAATCGATAACGTCCGGTGTGCGAATGACACTGTGATTTCAGCCGAAAATATTGCCGGATTGTAAACGTTAATGAACCGCATAGCACAGCGCAGTCATCAGTGCGGACCCAACATTAACGTCCACAAAACAAAACAAACGGTCGTTAGCAAGTCCGCTATAAACGGAGCTCGCATTTATGTCAATCAAACTAGGATAGAAAGAGCGAAACAATATTGCTATTTAGGTACCGTGATAAATGAAAGACGGGACAACGCTCAAAAATTAAACGTCTAATAGGGAAAGCGAGAATAGCATTTGACAAAACGTGCGCAATCTTCAAGAGTCATGGCTTGAAACAATGACGAGACACGTGAGATATTATGTATTCTCCGTGCTGCTCTACGGTGCGGAATGCTGGATGCCATCACAAAACAACTAGAAGCATTTGAGATATGGTTATAGAGAAAAACGATATGAAGATACCTCGGGCTGCTCGAGTGTGATTGAAGCATCGAAGTTCTCAGAAGAATGCACAAGAACACCGAGCTCATTAAAACCATTAAGATCAGAAACCTCCAATACCTAAGAGACGTAATGAGAAATGGGAATAGGTATGCTATACTTCAATCCATTTTGCATGGGAAAATATTTGGAAAGAGAAGACTCAACAGAAAAAGAATATCATGGCTTTAAAATCTGAGCGTAGGGTTTGAGAATAGCTCATTAGAGACAGTCGCTAGCATTCGGAATCGTATTAGGTATCTAAAAAAGAAGAAGATATCTCGAAAAGTATTCGCTTCAGTATTGACGTCCCTTGAACGAATTGAATTCTACCTAAACAGTTTGGGGTTTCGCCATCCCCTTACGCCGCTTTTCACACGTTATTCGAATCATTCGATAATCTAAATATATAATTAACCTAACCTGTCCCACGATGATGTACCCCTTGAATATCTCCGGAGATAATAAAAATTTATCTTCGTGAGATAGCCTGTATATATATATAATGTTGAAACATTGTTTTTTATCAATAACTGTCTGTAACCTAATCTAACCTATTTATGCCAAATCATAGGCACAAACAGCTCAGATATTTCGATTATTATTTATTATGTATTTACCCGTTTTAGGAGATTTGAGAAGGGCATCATACTTGAGTACTGGAGGAGGCTAAACCCTCAAAGCTCCCTCCTTATTTACGCCGATGTGCATAAATGAACAAAAGCCTTCTTGTTTTTTTTTTTGTTTCTTTTTTATTATCAAAAACTATAGCTAATAATGTTACACTTATTTATGTATTAAATGCACGATATAAAATTACTTTACACGGAAGATATTTTGGATCTACATACTAAAACATGCGTAACGCGGTGGTATTATTGCTGCAGCAATGAATCTTCTATGAGAAAAACAAAATAAAAAAAACCTTACAATTTTGAGCCGACTGCGTGTTGTCAAAATATAAAACAAAGAATACATCTGCTGTGATGGGTGACAAGTTGATTTCGTGAACAATAACAATACGAAACATTCGGATACTCACAGACAACCGTGACTCTGTCTTTCCTACTCCGTTGTTTTTGACAAACGTTTATCGCAGTGGCAGTCAAATGATTTTAACACGGACGGGGAAGGAACGAGGCTACTTTTTTCTAAAAAATTATTATTACTTAAATTGTATGGATTTACGGGCAATATTGTACAGTACATATTATTGTCATTAATATTGAACGTTGAATATTGAAGGTGAAATCACACGAGGGGCCGTATATCTCCCTCGCCCTCTCCCAACACCCATTATCGTCACCCCCTGTTTATCGCGGGCGTCCACTTTACGCGTTACAATTGCCCGCGATAGACGCGAATACAAATTAAAAGACCAACTCCGACACCCAAAAGCCAAACGTAACGAGATAATATTATCCTTACATGAATCGCGACTGCTCCCCGACGAATACTGAACCGAACGTGCGCCAACGCCTACGCGTTATAGCCACCGTGGCGGACATTTTTTCCATACGTCACGTCGTTTGGACAAACGTCCAACCACAACCTAACCTAATCTGACCTAACCTAATCGCGATCATCGGGCTGATTCGGTTAGAGCGGAAATTCTCTAGCGCGGCGAACGTTGTCGCGACGCTCGGAGAAATACACTCCGCTGGTTCGCCGTAAGCCGGTGTATAATAATAACCGGTGACGTTCGTTCGGACTTTTCACACTGGCCACATCCGCAGTTATCGCGGTATCGATAATATTTCTTGTCGGAATAATACCACGAACGTTTTCGTGTCAATAAAGATATTAACGTTTTACACGGTACGCAATTATTATCCCGAAGAATTGTGTTTCCCCCCGTCAATGTCTTAGTAATTCACAAGTTTCCTTGCGCCACGATCGGCGGTGCAATCGGTACACTTTCGCTTTCCGTAGGAAAAAAAAAATACACCGGCAATAACCGCCGAATCCGTTCCACGTCACGCGGTACCGCAGTACCGTAACCGCCGGTGTTCGGAACGATTTCGGGGCCAAGTTTTCCTCAATTAAAACTTATTACCTATTATTATTATTATTATTATTATTATACGTGGACACGATTTGTCGAAAAAACTGGGTACAGCGTGTTACGGACGCGGTACAAAGTCGTCGTCGTCGTATTTTGTACGCGCGCCCGTCGTCACATGTCTTTTCAGTCTGTACGGCCGCGACGGTCGCGGTGCACTTTGCAGGCGATTTAAACGCATCCTTGACCCGAACCATTACTTCTACTACTACTACTAATACTACTAATACTGCTACTACTGCTACTACTACTACTACTACTAGGTACCATATTAATGGCGGAACATACAAAAAAAAAAAAATAATAATAAAAATAATACACAATTACCTAACGATTGAAAAAAAAAAAATAGAAGAAAAATCCTATTTACTCTCCTCAGCGGTGTGTATACCTATATAATAATAATAATAATAATAATAACAACAACAATAATAATATGATGTTCGTGACGGTTTAATTCTCGTTGAGATTTACTATCTACCGGTCTGCCTGCGCGTCTATCCCCGTCCGCGTGTGCTGTAGTCAACGAAATCGTTATTTGTAATTATTACGTGATCTCGAGTGAAATAAAAAAAAAAAAAAAAAAAACCTCCTTACCTATAGCGTTACATATATATATATATAAATAATATAATTAACGGTACGCGCGAACAAACGATGTACGATTTTAACAATCCTTAATGATCCTGCTGCCTTTTTTTTTTTCTTCTAAAAACGTTTCCTCCCCACCCTCCGGCCGTCCATTCTCTCGCTGCGGCCGCGAGTGTCGCAGTCGCTGTCGTCGTCGTACGTGAATCGAAAATCAAACGACCGTGTATAATTTAACAACAGTTGTAATGCGAGTCCGGCAGTAATCTTTAATGAAGATAATAACACGCCACTGGATTTTTATTTCACTTGTTACTTGTCCGCCTGCGCCGCACTCGCGATTATGCGCGTAGGCCTAACGAACGAATTAAAAATACCGACAGAGGGGGGGGGGAATAATTGCAACGGATTAAAAACAAATAAATACAATTTGTGATAAATTATCACTGATAATTATTTGTTCGCTCGGAGAACCGTCTGATTTACAATTAATGCTCGTTATATGACAACAGTGTTTACAGCAAGTACTGCAGGGTTCTGTTTCAATAGTTTAGGTACGGCGTAATCGGTATTGTGATATCTGTTTTTTGTTGGGTAAAACGGAGAGACGATCAAATTGACGATCATTTTTCATTTCCAATGCCTATATACCAGCCTCTGTCATCGCGGAAAAACGGAAGAATAATATTATGTCTACACGGTTCTATTGTATAGCTGCACAATTTTGAACGTTTTATACCGGAAATATTTCACTCAGATGCATGAGCGCAAACAGCCGACATATTTGTACGCGGCTAAAGCCCTAACGATATCGATTAGCATTGATTGTAACATGTACGCGTGCATATTAATATTTACTTGTTAAGACTTGTTCGAGAGGAATCAGAGGGTTAAATTCTCGACCTCTCTCTATTCGCATCAATGTGGTCGGTCGGAGATAGTCGATTCCGATTGAAATGAGATTTTTTTGCCAACAATTAGGATTATCCAATCACACGTTCTTTTGTCAATTTTCAACATTATAACCTGTACGCGCAATAAATCTCACATTCTTCTTAAATAAGTGAAATAATTGAACTCAATTCGTATTTTGAAACAGTCTTAAGAAGTTTTTCAATGTGTACATAATGTAAGATTTACGTATTTATCTTGAAAGATATTACCTTAAAAATACATTTGACTTAAGAGTCACCAATCTGCCTAGGTTTTCCCTAATGATAATTAAAAAATTATATACACGTCGGCTTAGAACCAGATGACTAACCAAACGTTATTTTATTATTATTTTTTTTAATCTTTTTAAGTTTTTTTTACTAATCAATTTTGAATAAAAATTAATTTTAGTATCCATTTAAATAGAAATATATATTCAATTTAAAAAAAAAAAAACAAAATATTCTTTACGCCGTGGCAAGGGTTAAAATATTGAAACGCCTACACTATCCAAGAAATCTCCTCCCCCCCGTTTCGAGTCCGTCCGGCTGAAATATTTCATTTTTCCGTTCGAGTGAAACATACTGTGCCAATATTGTACAGTACAAAATAAATTTCTGGTGTAAAATCAACTAGGTGCACTGTAGCGACTGCGTAATGAATTTAACGACATTAAATTGTAAAGGTTACCATGATAATGTACAAGGTTAGGTTACAGAGTTTGTTCTCGCGCGAACATGGTGGTAAAATTGTATATTGAAATATAGGACCTGTAATGATCTACCTAGTGTGAAATTGAAATACGGATAAAACAGCCGTAGGATCACGCGAAATGTCGTGAACAGCACAACGTTCGCGACAATATCATTATAATAATAATATCGATATTGACATTATTATTTCGATAATACAGGTCGAGAACTGCCAACAATATCGGCATAATATTAACACTAGATAACGTTGTTGCGGTCTATTGCACTGGTAGATAATGAAAATTTCAATATTTTTGGCCATGATAACTCAACTCGGCAGTGATTGTTCGTAAAATTAATTTGTGTATTTCGTACGACATTATACGGTTTTATCGTTTCCTGTAATTCTATATTGTAATGTTATTAATTATCATGTTTTGTTGTTCATCGCGTATACAAATATTATTTTCCAGCGGAATAGTATAATATAATATTGTTGTACTTAATTATAAATTAGGTTTTAAATATCTAACTCGTTAATAATAATAATAATAATAATTAGAAAAATATATATATTGAATTCACAGTATACATTAAAAATAGAAATTAATTTTATTTAATTTACGGAAATATACGGTTTTTTATTATATTTTTTTGTTATATCCTATAATTTATTTTGTATTGAAATGTAAACAACATTTTATTAGGTAGGTACTTTCAGGAAAAAAAAAAAAACGTTGTGTAACCTTGGGGGGTAGTCTTTAATAATGGCCAAACCAAAAAGGGTAAAAATGGTCATTATATACCAAGAATTGGTTGGAGGAAAAAATTGTCAAAAACAAAAACGGGCAAATAAGAAAATTGGCCTTGGCGATTTTTTTTATTTGGTCATTATTACCTAAACTCATCCTCGGTGTGTTTTTATGTACTAAACTCGGAGTGAATAATTTACAAATATTTAAAACTTTACGAGTAATGAGTATATTATATTCAAATATTCAGTATCCGCGTTTTCTGGTTCTAATTTAAATCTCGTGTTTGCATAAGTAATATCGTTATAGGTAGTGAAAAACACGTAGAAATAAAAAAAAAATTTCGAGAGGTGGGTTTGATGAGAATTTAAATGTTGCAAGTACTAATAAATTTGATTTAAGACTGAAACATTTAATACGTTAACGTAAAAAAATACATAGTTTTATACGTTTTAAACTGTATTAAAGTTTTTGTATTTTTTTTTTTTTTTTTTATAACTATGGCTACACTGCACAGTAGCCATCGGGTATAATTGTCTATATTANTAAAGTTTTTTTTTTTTTTTTTTTTTTTTTTATAACTATGGCTACACTGCACAGTAGCCATCGGGTATAATTGTCTATATTAATACGTTTACACAATTTAATGAGCTAATCTTTAATAATTATCTTATTTTTAATTTGTATTAATTATTTAAGTTTTATCCTAATTAATAATAATTAACTACATTAGCATTCAAATTTTTAAATAACAACAAAACAGACGTTTGTTTTATTTAAAATTTAAATGTAAATAAATTCACCAAGATCGATGGGATCTGTATTAATTTATCTATCTATTTATGTTTTAGCCTTGATGCTATGTTTACGGTTCATAAATCCATGAGCTCTTTAATATTTTTTTTTATATTATAGTTTATTAATTTCATTAATTTTAACTATATTTTCGTCTCGATATCCAATAGTTTTTTTATTCTTTTATAACTATATTTTATTGCCCTTTTCACATTATTAAAATAAACAAATAATCAAATAGAAAGCTGATACTGTTGATGGGTGTGTCACTGTTTTAGGAGAGAAGTTGGGAGGAAGACTGTAATATAGAGTAATTTAATTAATATCTGTACGCGACGATAAACTATTGCTAATAAAAAATTATTTTGAGCAGAGTATTATTTGTCGTATTTGTTCGCCTGTTACCAAGGTACCCAGAAATTAACAAAAACCGTATTAATATTGCCAGATTTTCTGATTTATTATGAAAACTACAAAGAAAATCAAAAAATTACCTCTGCTGCTTCGACTATAGATTAAAAATTCAACATGAGAGTTTTTGACCAATACGTACCTCACTTTGTTCAGAGTCTAAAAAAAAAAAAAAAAAAAAAAACAATCAAATTAATAATAAATGCATAACTAGGTATGTGTAAACACGTCACTGTTCGGTTTTGAGGTTCTTTGTAAGAGTTTTTGTCTGCAATTATTGGGATTTTTCGGACATAACTCTTCAATACTACTCGAAAATAATATAATATTTATAATATGATTATATATTATGATGTAAACGTAATAATATACCGGAGTGTATTCCAAAACTTGGACCTGTCAAAAATCGCGCACGCGCAACTTATTATTTTATAATGTATGTCCGTTGTAACGTCCTTGGCTGAATGCATATCTACGCAAAGACTCTATAAAATAGTTATTCAAATAGTATTTTAAGTACCTACCTAAAAAGTAAACATATTTTACTCGGCTGATGTAAATACATAAAAGGTAAATCGGTTTATAATGACAATTTAACTTCCGAATCAAACGTACGCGGCGACGCATTGAAATCAATTAACAATTGTGTGAAACTCGCATCCGTTGATATTGCGGACAGCACAGGATAACACACGCGTAGTAAACAATGTCGTTGCCTATTTTGAGTCGTTACAGAACAGAAATTTCGCTGCGCACAAACCCCAAGGAAAATGTCAAATATCTCGAGGAAATGTCGAGTACACGGAACCGCCGTCGCCGGGATCGCTGAAATGCCGTAGGAATGTGGTGGCGTATAGAGTGCGTAATAATGGCGGAGATACCGCGCAGAAATCTCGGATTTTTAGTCGTCATCGGGCTCCCGTTAGGAAACCGTCGCTGTATAAGGGGACACCCGTAAAGGCAATAAAGAGTATTTCATTAATTGTTCCGGCGCAGCCGTCGGTCCGTCACGTCGATTAATCGACAAGCGGCCGCGGCGGTTTAAAAAAAAACACAAGTACAAACAATAACACCGAGATCCTAGGTACGAGGTACTCGTTGCAAAGTTACTAGTTTCGAGTGTGTATTTTTTAATCTATAACTCGTTTAATATAACCGGCGGATTCGAGGGTTCGGGGAACCGGGAGTGGGAGTTCAAAGCACAACAACCCGATTGAAGAAAAGTGACTCGCCGAACATTCGAAGTTATTATTATGGTGAAAACCGTTGAAATACAATAAAATGTTATGAATTATATGTTTTTTTCATATTGAAAGTTACAAAGATCAAAAATCCAAAATCGATATTTCACGTGTTCGGTATGGTTTTAGTTGCCTAAAATATTTTGAGGTTTTTTTTTCTGTTTTTCTAAATTATTGTCAAAAAAGGAAAGAAAAAAAACGATCGAATCATAGATATTTAATCTAATTGCCATTATTGTAGGTGTGAAGTTGGAAAGGTATAGGATTTATAGGCCAATTTAATTTACGCAACGATAAATTATTACTAATCAAAAAAGATTCTGAGTAAAACTATGTTAAATAGGTTTAATAAAACATTGTTTAAAGCAATATAAAACATTATAAAATTCGTTATAATTCAAAAAATTAAACAACGCCTTATATCTGATCTAAAATAAAAAGTTATTTTTTCTCTGTCCAACATGCACGGTTAAATTAAAAATATTGATTTTTTCATAATGAAAACAAATTTACTAATAAAAAAAAAAACTATCCGTTTGTGTCGAAAATTTATTTTTGTATGGCGCATACAGATTTAGAAAATATTGATGGTTGTCGGTTGATTTGTGTTATCGTTCTTTAAATAGTTAGCTTTTATAATATATGACTTCTACTTCTTCTTTGTATATAATTATATACATAATAATGTACTAAAGTTACATTCATTGGTTTGGTGGCATTCACTGATGTCTTTACCCCAAACAAAATACGCATCTTTTTTTATCGAGCCACAAAAGTGTTATTCACATCAATCAGAAAATGTATATTACAATATATTTCTGTGTTTAGAATTTAAAAGGAAAACAGATTTGATAATTGTTATAAGTACATTAACTATAAATATATTGAAAAGCCCTGTGTCATTTTATGATAAGCTCGAAAAAAATCATCCGCTACAAATACTCACCACCCTAATAATTTCGTAATGTATTATTATAAAACATTTACAAATTTATAATTAATTGTACATGAAAAAATACGTTTATAGCCGTGATTTAAATGTATTGATCTTGATAATAATATCATTATATTAATAGGTACATATACCTATACTTACCTATCGTATAATAATACACAAAGTTTTATTTCTTTATACTCCCGAAATAAAACCAAACCGCACTAACAAAAGGACAAAAGGTTCGAGAATCCTATTGTCGTCTTTAATACCTGTACACGACAAACCGGCATAAAGTAAAACCAGAAAAAAAAAATAATAATAATAATAATGGGCTCGGGTTTCACAAAGGTTTATAATATATAATATTGAAAAATAAAAAACTTAATGCGGAAAGGTCACACCGCAATATTGCAGTCGAGAGTCTTCGTACTATACTAGTATACTACATAGTGCGATTTCGAATAATAAAAAGTACTTACACTTTGAACATCACGACGTTGATAATAATCATACTACAAACGTGTTTCTCTACAAATTAAAAGTTTTATTTTTTTGTCAGTAGGAGTAAAAAACGCCCGTGAACAACAGAGATCCGTCACTATAAGAGTCAAATTCTGCAGCTTATAGAACTTAGCAAAACAATAATTAATAATTGAATGAAATAATACAATTAAACACTATACGTCGAATTGTACATCTGTATTATAATTATATTACGTCTAAATAATGAAATTTTAACATATAAATGGTTAGGGTAAACGTTGAAAATTGAAACCCCTAAAAACCACATTTTTTATATTATAAAGTTATGCTTACATAAAATTCTGCAGTGGTGTACAAAGGTAAAAAATAAACCTTACTAATGAAATTCATATTGAAATGTAGGTAGTCCAAATTTAATTACTTCAATTATTTTTGTTTGTTTAAAATTGTTTTTGATTGAAGTAATATTTGCAAAAATATTGACAAAAAAACCACAGTTTTTGAATTTCAAACAACTTTTTGGAATAAGATAATGTCCAATTTATGGGAAATTTCAGTATGTCGAAGTGCAAGTCCTAAAATAGTTTTTTGACTGGCCTTATAATCAAATCATGAATCGGTTCTATACAATTTTATTCAAAATCATCATAGATTGGCTCGTGATAAAAAAAAAAAAAACCGTCGTGTAACTTCGGGGAAGTCGGTAATATAGCCAAATCAAATAAGCCTGATAAAAAAGGTCCATATACCCAGTTGGGTAGAGGAAAATACGGTCGGACACAAAAACGACCAGAGGAAAAAATTGCCAAAAACAAAAAATGACCAGATGAAAAAAATCTGCCATTTTTAATTTGATCATTATTACCTAGAATCATGATGAATTCGATTTGAAAAATTAGAGTCGATGAGAAAGTTTAATGAAAAAATAAACTACACGAATTTATAATATTTTGAGCGATAAAATAGATTGTTCTGAAACCCCAGCGTTGATACCAATTGAAGGGAACAAAGGAGTGGTCCATTTTTGAAAATTGTTCAACAGAGCGAAACTTCTCTAAACAGCTGCACGGACAGCTACATTCGTTTCAAACCAGTATACTATTCAATATTTAATAATTATAGTTATTCGACTGAAATCGTATTTTTTCACCGAATGGTACTCAACATTCGGTAATGGTCTCGGAGCACCAGAGTACCATTATCTGAAAATTGACAAAAAATAAAAATGAATTACTCTTCTGTCCTACTTTCCGTGTGTCCGAAAAAAAAAAAAAAAAAAAAACGGCCAGATGAAAAAATTTGGTCTACTACCTGAACCCATCATCGGTTTAAATTGATATTATATTTATGCGCTGCAGGACTCGGGAGCGAATTATTCGGACCATACGCTCCGCGATAGGATTCGGCTGTACGCGAGCATATTGTGAATTGTCATACGGTAATCGCTAATCGCCATCATCGGTGTGTGTCTATGAATGTACGTGTGTCGTACGGCTCGTCTAATCAGTGGTGGATCGGAATGGGTGCATATTTGAATCGCGTGATTCACCAAAAATACCGGTAGGTGGATCGTGGGTGCCCGGGTGTATAGAAATATGACAACGAATATTATGTTTTTACAAAATTAAATTCATTAAAAGAATTTTAGACGTTGGAAACTTGATAAACTTGATGAATTTTATCGGAACTTGTTAAATTTCAATACACATATATATGGTAGGGCGGGAGGGATTTTGGGTTGGCACGGGCGGGCGGGTGAAAAACGCTAAATCGCTGGTTTTAGGGGAAGAAATACTTCGAGCCGCCACCGCGTCTAATTTAAATCTCGCGTTCTCGTAAATATAATTTAGTATGTACATAATAACATTGTAATACTTACGCAAACTCTGTCGCATCGTACTGATGGCATAGTGTTGTACGTGCAATATTCCTCATTAAAACGAAACGATATTAGTTTTGACTCCTCGCGACAATGTGGTGCAGTTTTATACGAAAGGGTCTCGCGTTACATTACACTATACGCATACGATATACCGCGTGTTTGTTTAATTATGAATTCCCGACGTATAATAATAATAATAATAATAACAGACAGCGCTACCGTTCGAATCGGGCTTTACTCGCTTAAAAGTTTTTTATTATTAATTCCCGACATATTGTGTTCGGTAACCCATCACGATGATATCCATAACAAACGCGCGAGCTCGAATTACGGAATTATCTTTTGGGCGTAAACACGTCACGCGTCATACGTCCTGCAATAATAATGCCGTTGCACCGCAGTGATCGTACATACGATTTAGTTTTTTTTTTTTTATTTTTGTCCCGAGAAATATTGTAACCACACCGCGATAAAAAAAAAAAACGGGTATCTCTACGCGAAAATTTCCAACAATTTTCGATTTTCGTTTTTCCGCGGTCGTTGTGGAGGAGAATCGTTTAACGGTCTGGTGTACCTCGAGGATTTTTCCCATATCTGTGCACATTACGAGTATATCAACTGTATCGTTCGATATTCATCTTCTTCTTCTTCTTTTTCTTCTTTTCCGATTTCTATGTAGACGGTCCTATAAGGACCGAACCATCTCACACCCGATCCTCACCATATTTCTCTTGTTTTTCTTTCCTACAGTTCGAATTCCTGCCGTCTAATTCTACGTCACGTTTAAATACATCTCCCCGTCTCGTTCTGGGCCTTTCTATATAGAATGTGTTTATTTTTTTCCGTCGCCGCTTCTATTAACTCATTCTAATCCTTAAGATCGGCAAACGATATAATAATATTTACTATAATTTATCGCATATTATCGTATACATGCACGCAACGACTGATGAACGAAATCGAATTTACTCGATATTTCCGCGGGTATATAAATCCGACCGCCGATGTGTTCGTTGTGATAAAATAATCACCCTGTACATTGTTGTCGTCGTCGTCGTCTTGTATAGCTTCTGTGCACCAACAAACGATTATTGTGTCTACGACCGGTTAACACCCACACGACTATAGCATTGTGTCGTGGGGTTCTTTTTTATTTTTTATTCACCCGTGAAACCAGACGAGAACAAAAATCTTATGCGCACTCCACTCCCCCTGTCCCGGGAATATTGTAAGTATAAGTATATAGGCACTTACCTGCACGCATATATTAGATAATAATATTATTATTATGTGTACGGCGGACATTCGGTCATGTGTTACCACTGTATACATATACGTACCTATATTATAATATTATAATCCATTTACGTTGTCCTTGGTCGCGGGTAACAACCAGAAATAACCAGATTCAAAGTCTTCTTTCTCACCAACCCCCCCCCCCTCTCCCGCCCCGAAGTGTCGTCCGTACTTATTAATAATAATACACGCTTACGTTATATTATATTATTATTGTATAATGTACGGTTATATTAATAATAATAATAATATCGTATTGTTGTATGTAAGTTTCATTAGTGCGTCCGGTCCTTTGCACAGCGGCGATCCGAAATCCCTGTGAGAAGACCACACGCCGGCAAAACGGCGTGTTCAATGTTCAGGAAAAACGCATCAACCCTTTTCGGTGTATTTTTTTCACTCTCCCTCTCTCTCCCTCTCACTCTATTCGGCAAAGGTCCCCGGTGGCGGCAGGGGGAAATTCGAGACAAAGAACCCTCTATTTAGACCTCGACTGCCGCTGCCGCAATAGGTACCTAACACAATGTCGCACAGGATCTATCGATCATTGGACATCCCACACCCCTCGCTATTTTTTATGTATATTTTTTTTATAACCTACAACAATGCACCGCCGTTTCTATATATATATATATATATATATGCAAGTATAATATTCACACGCGGTGACGAATTTTCGCTTTGCAAACTGCCGCCGATTATAATATAGTTAGGTGCTCAGAGCCGGGCCAGAGCAGTTCATTCAAATTCCAAATTAAATGGCGAAAAACACTGTTGCCAACCGCGAAATATAAAATTTTTAATTCGTAGTTGACGCGTTTTTGTGGTTTTTGGAATTATCGCTCTTTTTCCTCTGCAGTGACCTACCCGACGTGGTTTTGCATAACAAACCGAGGGTATTTTCGACGGTTACAGTTGCAACGTGTACTCGCAAACGAAAATGGTCCTCAGATGAAATAATTCGTAATGTTACGTCGACATGTATTTGAGGTCCTCGTCCTAACTTAGAAAAAAAAACATAATGGAGAAAAATTAAATTTAAAAAATTGCCATAAAAAAGTTTTCATAAAAAAATGAGTATACTCATACATAACGATGTATAATACATTTTCAAAAAAAAAAAAAAATGGTGATTATTCCCTTGATAAAAGATTTAATAATCAAACAAAATTAGTTACTTATTAGTGTTATTACTGTGAAAAATTTTTATTTTTATATGTGCGTCTATAATTATTCGCTGTGGCATGTTTTAAAGAGATTAAAACAGATTTTACATCCATACATTGTACTTTAAATATTTTATGACAATAATAATTATGTAGACGTTATTTGTCTATTTAAATGTTATAATACTTATTACTTATGTATTATATATCTAAAAGTATTTTGGATTCCAGAAAAATAAAGGGCTCTTGAAATTGTCTACACCCCAGTCCTTTTTAATCTCAGTTCGTCACTGATTGCGGATAATATTTCGAAACCGTCCAATCAGTTTTCGGAAGAACTGTGACCCTGCGAGCAGTGGAGCATTTAAGATTTGACGGGCGTGAGAGACATTATGTCGTGTTGTATAACGTGTACCCGGGTTAAACAAAACTATTAATTCTTTTATTTATGTAGGCAATTTTGCGAGTAATTTATAATTATTTAATCTGCCCTTAAATTGTCATTGAAATCGATTAACTAGATACCGGTAGCGTTGTTATTTATTTATTTGCCACTCGGGTACTAATCTAACCGCCTTCATATTATTATACAATGGTTCGGCATGGTTTCGTTTCGAACGAGAAAATGTTTATCGTGTTCGGGGTTTTTTTTTTTTTTTTTATCTACATAAATACATATTAACTATAACATTTTTGATCTATTCGATCTAAAAAGTAAAAAAAAATTTCAATGTAAAAAAATACGTAGCTACCGTATAAATAATGTATACCGAAACAAAACAATAATCGAGGGAAGAGATACGTTTTCCCTTAAGTACGTCGTCACTGCCTTGCGAGAAATCCGAGATTCTCTCCGCACTTATCGCGTTTTACGAAACATTATATTCCGCCGACCGCTCGGATAACATTTCCACCTCCGGCGCACGTTGCATTGCCTATCCGACCCGCGAGACCGGGCGCAATTCTTTTGTTACCCGCGAGTCCGGCGGAAAAAACATCGTCGACGATTCCGTTTCTATTACTCGGCGAAGCACGCGCCGAATTTCAAAATCGCCAAACGAATAGGCGCTTCAACAATCGTCTTCAGAGACTGTATCCGTTGTCTACGAGAATATCGTTTGAAAGGTTTTTTTTTCTTTCTTTTTTTTTTTTTTTTTCTGTCGATCAAACGATCATAGACATCGTGCAATTCAAATGCAAGCGAATGATTAACAACCAGTGCGAACGAAAAGCGAATGTATACGGGGAAAAGACTAAAATTAATTAATACAATATATATCGGTTATTATACACGTTTCATAACGTAAATGATTAACGCCCACGCTGTGTTATTGCGATAAATGTCGTTTGAAAAATCGTCTGTTAACGTCCGATAACGGTATTTTTTCGACGTCACCGCCGTTGTAGGGTAGGCATAATATTATTGTATTTTTAATAACGCGTTAACAACAGCTCATCGACGCTTTATACCATAATGTGTACCGCGGGGGTAATGATCTAATTTCCTTATGGCCGGTTTCACCATCAAGAGTTGAAGTGTGAGTTACCGATAACCCGGCGTTAACGAAAAAGAGCCATTTCAACACCCGGAGTTGACCACTTGATTACTCACTAAGTCAATGGAAATCTTGACTTATATTTCCGCATTATAGTTTTATTCACCTGTTTTTTTTTTGTTTTTTTTTTTTCAATAATATGCGTATTTTCCGTCATCAATTCAATGACGTATTTTCTCCTTCTTTTTTATTATTAAAGTTAACGTTTCTTTTTCGTTTATTGAAAACATCAATTTTAAAAATTAAAACTATCACCAAAATCCAAATAACTACTGTACACGGTGTTAATTATAATAACACGAATTCACAACGGTCGCAAACAATTCATTTTTGGACAGACCGTCAATATTATCATCTTTGTATCGACGTAATCGGCGAAAATCGCGGAAAAAACTCGGGAGAAACAGTCATACAGGTGCTAATCTCACGACTGACAAACTCCAACCCAAAAACGTGTGGTAAAACGGAAACGGCGATAGCTCCGACTTATTCGGTAGGTAATTCAGAGTTAATTCATCCGTACTTCGAATCTCTAACGTGGCGAAACCGACCGTTGAGGAACGACGAAATATCGAAAAATAATTAACCCCCCCTCCCCCTGAAGAAGTGAAAACCGAATCGTTATTGTTTTTAACCAGCGGTAAACGAGATTTCGGGTACGTCTGACGGCGACTTCCGCGTCGTTCAATTGCCCGGGGCTCCGGCGCGCGGTGTTCGGCGTGTCGTATGCGTTGCCTATCCGGTCGCCCCTCTTACGGGGTTTACGCGCCAAATGTCCGGGAAAAAAAAACAAAAAAAACAAAACAAAACCTAACAAAATTGTAAATTCGCAAACGACCCGACGCGGGAAATTACTGCACCGGACACGGGGCAGACCGAATAATGGGGAAACGTACGGTTTTTCCCGTGGGTGTACCGCGGTATCCGGCGAGGGAAATCGCCGTCCGTCGCGTTCGGTCTTCGCGTGCACTCCTCGGTCCGCAACACCGTAGCAACATTAACATTATCGCGTAAAAGCGCATTCGGTCGACCGCAGCCGCGGCCTGTTATACGAGGGCCAGTCGAAAAGTATCGGTGGTATTACTCGGTAACCGAGCGGCGGCGCACAGCCATCACGTAGGGCCGCCAAGTGGCGGCAGTGCCCCGGGGTCCCGGAGCTAGGGACGCATCGGACAATATTCCGAAAATTCCTAAAAAACTGTTATTTATCGAATTTTCAAACAAGCGTGTATTTATTTATTTGTACGAACGCGCTGAATACAGAAAAAAAAAGAAAAGAAAAACAATCAAATATAGTAGGTATTTTACGAAATAGGACTGTGCAAAAAAAACATTGGGCGTTGGCGCAAAGATTTTCGGAATCATTAACTCCGGCAACACCGTGTCCTTTGGATAAAACAGCATCTCTTGGCCCATATTGTAATGGGTTTTAAATAATTCGTTACGGGTTTGAGTTCGCCAAAGCCACACCACACAGTCAACGAGTGTACGCGTCGCGGCGAACGCGATGTCCAGTATGGGTGTGTTTGAATTTTTAGTTTAAAAAAAAAAAAAAAAAAACAAAACGACCCGAAAAGGCATCCGTCTTCGTCCGTCACGTTCGCCGCGCTTCAACACGGGACGGGACGGGGGCGACGGTGTGTTACGTGCCGGCGATACAGGTTAGGCGCCCCTCCGTTTACCCCCCCCCCTCCAACTCCCCCTTTCGTCAAGGACGTTTTCATCGTCAGAGCCGACCGGAAGAAGGGCGGCCCGGGGATTCATTGTCGCGAGGAGCGCGTGTACGGACACCGCGATAACGACGAGTCGGAAACGCGCGCGGGTATGCGGCACCGACGACGAATGTCCCCCTTTTTCGACGACCGGACCCGCGCTCGTTTTTTTTTTTCGGCGTAAACAACAGCGTTTTAATATTATTACAGTATTTACGTGTTGGCGGCACGGCCCGCTGTCAGTGTCGGCCCGGCGATCCGAGGGCCGGAACGTTTCGGTTTTCGGCGGGCCCCGTACAGACAAAGGAAAACGGAAAGTCCCGCGGAAACCGAACCGAACCCGGTTAAAAAAAAAAAAAAAACAAACGATATTAGTGAAAAAATCGGTCAACTTATTGTCCGAGTTTGCGAGTGTGAGAACGTGTACACGGGGAAAAATAGAACATTCGTTAAGCCTGCGAACTTCGTAAATGCTAGAGACGACATTTCCGGCGAAATCGTGGCGTTCGGGGCGACAGACTCGAAGAGGAAACGTTTTCGAACGTTTCGCGCGCGACGGTTTTCGATTTTTTCTCATTGGCCGCGACTGTCGTAACGTTGAACGTATTTAATCTCGTCGTCCGTGGCGTTTCAAGTGTTAATCCCCCCCCCCCGCCTTTCCCCGATATAATATAATATGGTTTTCGGACGTTACTTTCGATTTCCGCGGGTTTTAATTTTTTTTTGAAAACGTGTTTTTTTTCCGATTTTTAATAGCAAAAATTATAATTTAGATTTATTATTATCGTTTCGAACGGGCGACGGCACACCGCGCGCGTGTACCGTCGCCGCCGCCTTTGTTTAAACTTCTTTGTTCTCTCGCCGCTGTCCGGTAGTACGCCAAATGCGACCGCCCGTCGTCGGTTGAAACGTTTTTTTAATACGCGCGCGTTCTGTCGCCTTTCGTTCGCGGCAACGCGAAGTCGCGGTAAAAAGAGAAAAAAAACACGTAAACAACCGCAATAATAACAAACCGGCGGCCAATACTTTGTCTACTACTAAACTTTGTCGCCGGAGAGTCCGTCAGAGTATAGAGCGAACCCGAGCCGGACACCCGCCGACGACCTTTCGCCCGCCGCATAGGTACGTGCCGTTTCTCACGTAGTACCTGGCGCGCTTAATTATTGTTTTATTGCTGTCCGGGCGATTGGCGCGTACAGAGCGATCGCGGCGATTGATAATTACCGACGGTCCCAACGATATTGGCGGCGCGTTGCGATTTGTTTGGGAAAAATAAAAAATATGTCTCTTTTAAAAAATACGCAATCACTCGGCGGCGGCGTCCAAGGTCGACGGTAGTCGGACGGAAGACGATTGCCGGCCGCGGCGCGGAGGAACACCCGCCGCCTCGCGTTTTACCGGTCGGAAGCGAATTTTCGCCCGTCTTTCCGTTACCTCTCCGCGCGCGTTATCATTGCACTAGTCCTCGGGGTGTCGCGGGACTCCGCGGCCGCCCCGTACGCGAGGGCCCGGAAACGATTCGCCGTCAATTAATAACCTCCCCGTCTCCGTCACTCGGGAGCACCGTCGCCGTCGACGCGGGCCCGAGTGCGTTTGCGTACGCGCGCGGGCCCGGAACAAAGGCGACGAGAGTCGCGGAACGACGGCGGTCCGTCTCTGCAGCGGTACGGGCCCACCCCGTCCGTCGCCGATGCACTCGCCGACGGTTTTTTATTTGTTTTTTCTCTCGATATTTTTTACCGACGAGCGACAGAGAGTTAACATTATTATTATGTATTACTGTAATGGGACAAAGCGAACGAGCGAGAAAGCATATAACAATAATAATAAATACACATACATGTATACGTTATACGTGTACGGCGGACGGGAGGGTACCGTACGGATAGTGGCGGTGTGTGCGTGGTGTACGTGACGGCGGCGGCGGTTAGTGTGACGGAGAGAGAGCGAGCGGGAGCGTGCGACGGGGAGAGAGCGAGCGAGAGAGATCGAGCGAGAGCCGAGCGAGTGGCGTGATGGTTTACGCGGCGGCGGCGGGGAAAGCGGCGGTGTGCCCGTAGGCCCGAATAATACGGGCGCACGCGAACAGTGCCGACGACGAGTCGCGCATTTTCGGCGTTGGTCCGCGGCCGGTCGGTCGGCGGGGATACGGCGTGCGGCGCGGTGGCGGCGGCGGCGGCGGCGGCGGTCCTCCGCCAGAGGGGTCCCCCCCCACTCGTTCCTCTCGCCGGTCGCGCTGGGTTGCCGCGCCGCCGCTGGCACCGTTCGTTCGGCCCGGCACCGAACGGCGGGACGGCGAGCGGCGGCGCGGGGTTTCTTTGTTGTTCGAACAGCTGATGGCGTACGCGAGCCGGCCGGCCGGCGGACGGGACCCGGACAACACCGACACACCGTCAGTACGTTCAGTCAGTCCGCACGCCACCACCACAACGTTACACGCTCAGTCGATTAACCGCCGCGGTCAGATTCGGTTTATTCCATAGCTGCGCTCCGCCGGCCAATAATAATCGTCTTTTCGTTATTATTGCTGTTATTTGTCGTTGTACCGTCTGCCGTCCGGTAAACGAATTTATCGTTATATATTTTTTATTTTTTTTTTTATTTTTTACTTTCGTCGCCGACCGCGGAACAAGAGTGCCCGTCGTGCGTTTGTCGATTGATTACTGTCGTCGCCGGTCCGTTTCGGTTATTTCGTCGAAAAGGCATTTTCAAATTTCTGCAAACGTCGTTTGCGAGAAACATACAATTCGATTGAAACGATTGTCTTCGCGCGATACAATCATTACGCTAAAAAAACGCGCCGATAAAACTGCCAAGAAAATGGGGGAAGTCGTACCGCAGTATTACATACACCCGCAGTACCCGGTTCATTCCACTCTAGGTACTTGGCGTTTTTTTTTTTTTTTTTTTTTTTGAAAATTCATATTTTCGCCCTCCGCGGATTTCGAATTTTTTTTTAAATTTTTATTTTGTGACAACCGTGTTTATTTTATTTTTTTTCTTTCTATTCAAGGAATCTTGAAACTGGAGGACATCGAATCGGAAACTAGCGCCTTCATGGCGTTGCACAAACGGCTCGAGGAGGAGCTGAGGGCCGCCAAACGGGCTCAACTGTCGTGCGGCGAAGTGCAACTGCCGCCCAACTTGCTCCGGCAGATCGCTCACGACGTGCTCAGGATGGCCGAAACCGAACCCTGCGGTCTCAGGTGAGCGTCTCGGTTTCTACAAAACCGTTTTGTTTTTTTTTTCTCTCGATCCGACCGAAAAACTTTACTGATCGGAGGGTTTTTTTTTTTTCACAGAGGATGCACCTTATACCTGAATTTCGAAGGCGAACAAGAGTGCCGGAAAATCGGTACGATCAAATGCGATCCGAACATGGTGTCCACGTTCGAGCTGTTCCTCACGCTCAAACAAGACCCCAGAAATACGTGGTCGTTAATTCCGCTGTTTCTCAGGTGAGTGTCCGCGTCGTTACGGCGATCCGTTTTTTTTTTCTGTGTCAGTACGACAAAAAAAAAATTAAATTTTAAATTAATCGCACAATTTTCGATTATTTTTTTTAACGGTGTTTTTTTTTTTTTTTCGTCTTTGTTTTCTCCGTTCAGGAATTTGGCGAAAGGCAGCACCATCGTGATCGATCACACGTTCACCATTGAGAAACGGAAGCTGTACAGGTCTTTTTTAGATTAGACGGCCCCGGAAGTCCGACGAACGACGGATCTTCCTCGTCCTTCGTCACCATCACAAACACCGCAGCCGCAGCCGCAGCCGCCGCCAACACTACCACCACAACAACCACCAACACCACCACCACCACCACCACCAAACCCTTATTCTCATCCAAAGTATCTCATCAACAAACCATCACCACCGACACAGCCGCCGCCGCCGCCGCCAACAACTGCAGGTACAACAGCAGCGCCGGGACTCGACGAGATCCCGCGAAAAATCCCGTCTTTATTGCTCGTAACGACTGCAACACGGCCGTCGCCAGTAGCGGCGCCGCGTCCGACGTGAGTGAGAGAGAGCCAAGACTGATCAACTCCGGATTAATCTGCGCGATACAATAAAGACGCGGCCCCAACACGAGTAACGTCGCAGCCGCCGCCGCCGCCGATTGTCACCAAGTAACAAATTATTATTAACAAAAAAAAAAAATCAAATCAAATCTGTATTTGAACGGCCGCGTCTGTAGTATATAACGACGCGGACATTTATAATGTCGTTTGTTCGCGCGTTATCAAACAATCGGGATGATAAATGATAATACATTATATATATATATATATATATAAATATTGTTGTTGTTGTATGTGCGCATCGCGAGTAACCCCGGGGCCCCCCCTCCCCCTCCCCATCGCCACACTGGCTCCTATATCCGATATCCGATCGACCGAGAGAAACGATAATATCACTATTATTATTATTATCATTATCGATCGAGAAACATCGCTAATAAAAAAAAAAAAAAACTCGTATGAACACACATGTACATATACATATATATATATATATATAGATATATATATATTTTGTTAGATATTAAAAATTACGGAAAACAATTTCGAATGAGCGCGCGTGCGGAAAAAAATTATAATACAAAAAAAAAATTCAACAATATTGTGATCGGTTCGTTTTGTACGTCGTCAAAGTACGTACACTATTATAAATATAATATTTAGTAGTTTTATTATTATAGATTATTATTTTTTTTTTTTTGTTCTCGTTATTATTTTTGTCGATACATTTATACAAATTGGATTTATATAATATATATACATATATATTATATATTTATAATACTTATATTATTTTATAAATTATATTATACTCGTATGTATATATATATATATATATATATATACGTGGCCAGATATATATATTTAAAAAAAAAAGTTATAATTATTACCTATAAAATATAATTTCCTTTTTTTTTTAAAAAAAAAAATACTTTTTTTTTTTACCACCTATCCGAAAAAAAAAAAGAATATATATATATATATATATTCATAGGTTTACCTACACTTACCTATATACCTACATACATACCGCTCTATATCATCATGATGTATCGGTACATCGGCTCTTTGTGTCGGTTTTTCGAAATAATACAGACGATCTATAGATGATATATAAATAAAAAAAATAAAAAATAAAAAATAAAAAAAAAAACCATATATTATAATATTTATTTACACGTTTAAGGTTATAATTAATACATTATTATATTATTATATAGATTAGAGTTTATTATATTCGGCTTAATAGAGATTATACGTTTTTTATGTGTATATTATAAATTTATATATATATATATATATACCTATATATACAGTTTACGGAAAGGAAAAATAACCAAAACAAATTTACATATTTTCTTCTCGTGCATTAGGTGCAAAAGAAAATAATTTTTTTTTTTTTTTTACGTACGTATTTTTAAGAGTTTTATAGAGTCGGATTGATAAATATTAACTATTAGCCCGTACGCGGAATCTGTGCCGACGAACCGCCGCGCGGTCAATTATTTTTCCCCGAACGACAGGGAGAAAAACCGCGTAAAGGTATTGACGAGAGAGAGACGGGAGATATAAACGACGCGTGTGAACGTATGCGTGCGTGTGTGTCTTCCGGGCACAAAGATCGGATTATAGAGAGAAAGAAAGAAAACAAAAAAAAAAAAAAAATTAGATTTTAACATTATATAACGTATTATAATACACGTAGATTCTATATATACATATTTATATAAATACGAAATACACGCACGATACTTGTGTATTTTAACTTATTTATAGGCTTAAAAACAAAAAAAAAAAACCAAAAAATCGCACCAAAAAAACAAAAAAAAAAAAAAACAAAAACAAAACCGACAAAAATCTATTGTAAAAGAAGAAGAATACGAGTGTGTGAGAGAAAAAAAAAACCAGATTATTATGTATTGTATCGACGAGATTATAATATAGAAGAAGAAGAAAATAACCGCCCTTCCCACTACTCCCCCGCTCCCCCCCCACCACCACCACCGCCACCCGGACTCGTTTAGGCGTCTTTTTTTTTCTTTCCTTTCCTTTTTTTTTTTTAATATATATATATATATATATACGTTGTGTTTTGCCAAGATGTCTTTCACGTTCAAAATATATAATATGTATTATGTATATTGATAACAAAAAAAAAACAACAAAAATATGAATATATATTATATATTATATACGTTAACCTTTTAGCTTGTAAGTGTTCCTATACATATAATATGTTATTATAACCGCGACGTCGCGCGTACGAGATAACGAGATAGACGAGGAGGAGTAAATAAAAATAATAAAAAAAAAAAAAAAAAAAAAAAAAAAAAAACGGGATAGAAAGAAGTATAATAATTTCATAAAGTACGCGCGCGTCGATTGGAAAAAATGTAGGAAAACAAAGTCCCTATAAAAATTTTTACGATATTATTATAGCGGAAGAGCTTTATTATTATTATTTTTCGTGCGTCTCTCGACAGATAGAAAAAATAAAAAATTTAAAAAAAAAATTGTGATGTAATTTTTAGCGAGTGTGATTTATATATATATATATAAAACAAATTATATATACATACATATATATATATATATATATACATGATATAATATTTAAAATATTTACTTTAAAGAGTATATTTAGTGATTAAGTCTTTTTTTTTTTTCTATAGAGCTTTTGCCCGTGCAAATTTAAAAAAAAAAAAAATTTCGTTTTAACAGTACTATACGTACGTGCACAGCCGGTACGTACGTATGCGTATGCGTATATATATATATTTATATTATATTTTATATTTTATTATTTGATAAAAAATTAGAAATCGTAGAATTTTTACGAGAAACTCTCGTAAAATATAGTCGAAACGTTTAAAGAAGAATAGGAGAGAAAAAAAACAACAGAGCGCGTTAATAATACGCTAAACGCTAACGCTCTTATCGATTCGTTTGTGTTTACGACGGTTTTTTTTTTTTTTTAAATAAACGACAAAAGCTTTAATAGGCTCTAGTAAGGATGAAAGTTTATTATTATTATTATTTTTTTTTTTTTTAAATACCCATGTATTGTGATATAACGGATTTTGACTTTTAAAACTTTCGAAATTTCGTAGGCTTTTTTTACATAAGTGCGCTCCAGCGCGTGAAACTTTTTTTATACATATATAATTATATAATTATTATAAAATAATATTATTACGAATGATAACCCGTTTTTTTTTCACCTCCGGAAATCAATAATAATTTTATTTTTTTTTTATTTTTAAATTCTATATTATTGTAATAATAATACAGAACATTATTTATATAACTAATGAAAATATAACATTACGTTACATATTATTATAACAAACTCGAAACATTGTAATTTTTTATTATTTTATTATTATTTTTTTTTTTTTTTTTTGGTTATTATAATATTATATTCTGATCTCAGTGGCACTGTATGAAGTGTATTCTTAACAGTATTTTTTAATTTTTTTTTTTTTTTTTTTTTAAAGTTAAGTTTACCTTTGAATATTGTGTTGTAATAACGAAATAATAAATAATTTTATTTATATTGTAAAGTGCTACGCGTCGATACACCGGGCGTGTGTACACTCACCTCTACGTACACACAACCCCCTCCCGGTAAAAATCGTCGAAAGTCTATCTATTTTTTGTTTTCATACATATATATATATATATATATATATGTATGCATATATATTATTATTATATACATTTTTTTTTTATATATATATCTAATGCAGTAAAACTTCCGTTAACGGTCACCTCTAAGAGACGGTCACTTCTATGTAACGGTCATTTTTTTTGGTCCCATCAAGTGTTTTATGCCTTTATAAGACACCTCTAAAGAACGGCCACCTATCTAAATAGCGGTCATTATTTCCGGTCTCTTCGGTGACTGTTATATGGATGTTTTACTGTAAATTAAACCTCCCTATTATTTTTTTTTTTTTTGTATTGTGGCACAACCCCATCATGTTAAGGACCACCGCCTGTACACCCCCCCTCCACCGCCCTTATTGGCCAGTCATATCACTCCATCATAATATATATAGAATTTGTCAATGGAAAAAAAAAAAAATAAATATATTATCATATTGTAATATTTATGTTTTTACTTTTGTTATATGTGCAGCGAATAGATTATGAACGAAAAAAAAAAATTATAATAATTAATAATAATAAATATTAATATTGCAAAATATATTATGTATTAAGATTTGATGGAAAAAAAAAACCAAAAATAAATGAAAAAAATAATATTTTGACAAAAAAGAAAACAAACGTGTTACATTTCTTTTTTTTTTCTATAATTATTATTTTCTCCTTTTCCCAATCTCCTCTACTACGCTTCTCTGCATGCGTACAGAAAAACAGCAATGGCCGCTGCTGCTGCCGCAACCGATATCTAACCTATAATACTGTACATCATCACAAGTACGTATTTGCAATCGTTAAAAATACGTTTTCCGTCGATTACAATAATACAATAATTATTATTGCCGTGTCACAAAGCACGCTCTGGTTTTCAGTGTTTTTTCGCGACAAAAAAAAAAAGGTGACCCCGTTTCCGCGGAGAACGCGGTTCGTTGAACCGCCGTAGCCGCGCTCGCGAACCGGTAGAGGACGCGACGTCGGCCGGTCGACAAAAAATATAAAAAAAAAAAAAAAACAGCTCAGCCCGGCGATTGTGCGATCGTGCGGCGATATTATACAACGGAGAACGGGAAACTATACAAACGGAAACGCAATGGTGATGGGATGGGGAAAACAAAGATATATACGGACATACATTCGAACGACGGGTGGGCCACTGTTGTGCAGTAGGTGTGAGAAGTTTGGTAGAGGCTTAGAGGGGAAATTTAATGTGTACGTCCGTGTATTCGCAGCGATTCACCGTCGCTAGCGGTAAACGATTCTGAGCGTAGTTCGGTCAACTGCAGTGTTGCTCCGTCAACGATATATATTTTATTATACAGGCAATAATATATT